TTCAGGCTCGGAGCGCAACACCGTGGAGAACATCTGCCTGCGGGCCTCGGAGCTGATCAGCTGCGAGTGGTGCAGCGTGCGGAAGCTTCCCGTCTTGTTCTTCCAGACGACGGCGGCGGAGTGCGTCCGCCTGCGGGCGCAGCTGGACATGTCGGAGGACAGGGGGGGGCACTGGTACGACTGCGCCGGGGACCGTGAGTAACACACGAGTCTTTTCTTATCTCACAAAGAGCTGCAACGCTGTCATTTACAAAAATACGCTTCAACAACATCTCGGTCATCATCTTCTATCTTCTAATATATAAGAAAACCGACGAGAGGAGCTCTGACTGTGACCAGATGCAACCAAAAACGACGTTTCCCTCTCGCACCCTCAGAGTCGGACGAGAAGTTCATCGTGCTGATCTTCGAGAACGGGCTGGTGATGAAGGAGCAGGCCATCCTGGAGGACATCCTGGGGGACATCGGCCGGACCAACGGACTCAGCGGCTTCCCCGCCAAGCTGCCCTTCGAGGAGGCCAACATCCGCCTGGTGAACTTCAACAAGGCGCTGGAGCAGAAGGAGGACAAGGTTTAATGACCTTTATGTCATAATAATAGATGACCTTATTGTCTTCCCTGTGGAGCTTAGTTTCAGACTCATTGATCCCTGTTAAGCTGTTTGTTCAAATAGATTTTAATTCTTTTATCCACACAGAACTTTAAACAAGAACAAAAGCATCTTTGTTTTGTCTCCTCAGGAGAAGCCCGCTCAAAGCCCCCACAGGCCCCCACAGGGCTCCCCGGTTACCAAGGCGACGCAGGGCGCCACGTCCAGCCCGGTCGCCGTGCATGCGCGCACGCGGATGTCCACCCGCCAGCACACCGGCAGCTTCCTCGAAGACAACGAGGACGACGAGGACATGACCGACCTCCAGCCGACCTTTTCCGGGCCAATAGTCAAGTGAGTCTCTGTCTCCTCCCCCAAGGTCTTCCAGGCTGACGGGGGTCATATTTAATGTGTCGTCCAGGCTGACGGGGGTCATACTTAATGTGTCTTCCAGGGTGACGGGGGTCATACTTAATGTGTCTTCCAGGCTGACGGGGGTCATATTGAATGTGTCTTCCAGGCTGACGGGGGTCATATTTAATGTGTCTTCCAGGGTGACGGGGGTCATATTGAATGTGTCTTCCAGGCTGACGGGGGTCATATTTAATGTGTCTTCCAGGCTGACGGGGGTCATATTTAATGTGTCGTCCAGGCTGACGGGGGTCATATTCAATGTGTCGTCCAGGCTGACGGGGGTCATATTTAATGTGTCGTCCAGGCTGACGGGGGTCATATTCAATGTGTCGTCCAGGCTGACGGGGGTCATATTTAATGTGTCGTCCAGGCTGACGGGGGTCATATTTAATGTGTCGTCCAGGCTGACGGGGGTCATATTTAATGTGTCGTCCAGGCTGACGGGGGTCGTATTCAATGTGTCGTCCAGGCTGACGGGGGTCATATTTAATGTGTCTTCCAGGCTGACGGGGGTCATATTTAATGTGTCGTCCAGGCTGACGGGGGTCATATTTAATGTGTCGTCCAGGCTGACGGGGGTCATATTTAATGTGTCTTCCAGGCTGACGGGGGTCATATTTAATGTGTCGTCCAGGCTGACGGGGTCATATTTAATGTGTCTTCCAGGCTGATGGTGTATCCTCCTCCTCCGGCCAAAGGCGGCATGTCGGTGACCAATGAAGACCTGCACTGCCTCAACGAGGGGGAGTTCCTCAACGACGTCATCATAGACTTTTATCTGAAGTAAGCGTTTGCGGTAAAAAAGACGAGCGTCCCTCCCTGAGACACAAATTACCTCCTCTCGTTGTTTTAGGTATTTAGTTCTAGAGAAGTTGAAAAAAGAGGACGCTCAGAGGATCCACGTGTTCAGCTCCTTCTTCTACAAGAGGCTGAACCAGAGGGAGCGGAGGAATGTCCCCGACACCACCAACCTGCCGTGAGTCTCCCCCCCCCCACACACACACATCAGACCCCCCCCCCCCCCCCCCCCCCCTTCGTGGCTTCAGGGCCGCAGCCTCACACTTGTGCGTCTTAACTTCTCCAGAATCCAGAAGAGGAAGCACAACCGTGTGAAGACGTGGACTCGCCACGTGGACCTCTTCCAGAAGGACTTCATCTTTGTTCCCATCAACGAGTCGTGAGTCTTTAGTTCAGAACGTCGAGTAGAACATCTGAAAACACATGATCAATTTAGTTAATTTAGACAGATTTTCATTCCTTCATCCCCCCCCCCAGAGCTCACTGGTACCTCGCCGTCATCTGCTTTCCGGGTCTCAAGGGTCCGGCCTACGAGCAGAACCCGCTCTACCACGGCGCCGCTCTGCCCACCGACCCCCCCCTCTCAGAGGAGAACCTCCCCGAGCACTGTCGTCCTCTGTCCCCGGACAGCTCATCAGAGGACCCCGACCCCCCCGCCAAGGAGACCGCGGACTCCTCAGACGGGAGGCGAGATGTTTCCGGCGCCATCGGGCCGGCGGAACCGGACCAGCAACACATGAGTGGGTGTCCCTCTGGAGACGTTATGTCTAAATGATTAGGACATCATACATCCACAAACATCAAGTGCCCTGACGCTCACGTCCGTCTCTGCTTTATAATCCTCATTCAAACATCCAGCATGTTAACACACAGTGTGAGATGTTATGGGACACGCATGGCTTTGTACTAGTGTTCTAGTACTACACTATTCTAGTACTATAGTAGTCTAGTAGTACAGTTGTATGTACTAGTGCTAATATGTAAATGTTTCCCAGGTGAGCTGCAGAGAATCAGCGTTTCCTACGGTTCAACCAAAGGAGACGACGACACCTTCTCCGACGACCAGAGCTCCTGTCAGGTACCCTCCCCCAACCCCCACCCACCCACCCACCCACAGGAAGTAGTCCGTACACCCGTGGTCACCTTCACTTCCTCTGTGTCTCCAGGACGAGGTCAGTGAGGACGGGATGCTGGCGGAAGACGCGGTGGGCCCAGACGCCTCCGCTTCGGTCACCAAGCCGAACCCCTGCAGACAGTGAGTTGGTGCACGGGGGGGGGGTGGGCAGGCCCTGTGGGGCAGCAGAGATGCTGACTGTTGTTTCTGTGCTTCAGGCCGTGTGTCCTCATCATGGACTCCCTGCGCGGGCCGGCCCGGTCCACCGTGGTGAAGACTCTCAGAGAGTGAGCGCAGTTCATTCACACAAAGCGGTCATCTTTCCTGCGGCCTTTGAACGCATCGCCGGTGACTAACGCTTCCATCAGAAAAACGTCCCAAGCGAAGCCTAAAATCTGTCCTTGTTGTAGGTACCTGGAGGTGGAGTGGGAGGTGCGTAAAGGGGACCAGCGGAGCTTCGGGAAGGAGGTGATGAAGGGCTCGAGCCCCCGGGTCCCTCAGCAGGACAACTTCAGCGACTGTGGGGTGTACGTGCTGCAGTATGTGGAGAGCTTCTTCCAGGTGACCAGTCGCCTCCTCCTCCCCATCATCATCATCACCACTGTTATTACTTCTGTAATTCTTGTCTTTTTTTATCTCATGTTGAAAAAGTCCTTGTGTGAAGAACCTCATGTATAAACGGTTCATATTATATTTTATATTACATTAGATAAATGCAAACCCAAATAAAAGGGTTAAAATATGAGAAGGTAGATCTGAATAAATGGCATACAATCTTCTTCCAATAAATACATACATTAACAAAGTAATGGTACATTTAATGTTTTTATACATGAAATGGGAGCAAATAGTGTCCTCTCTGCTATAACGGTGCTCAGAGGACACTTTTATTATTGGTTTCCGTCTTTCAACACTAAAACAGAATAAAACACTGTCTGTGTCTCTCTCCCCCCCCCTTCATACAGAATCCCATTCCCAGCTTTCATCTGCCGATGAACTTGTCCGACTGGTTTCCGCAGCCACGGATGAAGACGAAGCGTGAGGAGATCCGGGAGCTCATCTTGAAGATCAAGGAGCAACAGGAAGTAGAGAAGAAGGAGGAGGAGCTTGTCCAGGCTCCGCCCAGCTCTCCCGGAGAGCCTGAGATAGAAGAGACGGTCTGGCCGCCACACTTACCCATCAGCCCCTGAGAGCTGATCGTGCCGCTGGACCCTCCCGCCCACAGAACACACCTTTAAACTTTGTACGGAACAAAGCGTGACCCGTAAATAGCGCCGGAGTTTCTCCCGCTGCCTTTAACTTCCTGTTTAAGTTATTTTTCTTCTCCCCGGGTGCAGAGACGCGTTGTCCTCCGGCATCGTTTTGAGTTTTTATGCCGTCTCGTTGTGTAGAAAACTAAAACGTAACAAACGAAGCTGCTGATATTTGTTCTCGATGCTCCCGTCTAGAGGAAGGAGGAGAAGGAGGCGACGTGTGGTTGTAGGTCGTTGTGTCGATCTCTTTTCAGCATTAAAGTCGACATGTGAGAGCACTTCTCTGTTTCTGCCTTCAGCGCTTCGGGCTTCTTTTCTGTTTTGAGGTCTGAAAAGTATCTTAGTTTTTGTTTTTTTTTATTAAATAAAATTTGAAAAGGGCCAAAGTTCTCAGTATACAAAAAAATACATGTATGTACTGCATTGTATACTTTTGTATAGTACAGAAGTTTTTTCCTCTGAGTAGTAATGTGAAAACTTTATTTATATCACACTTTTCAAGATGTTACAAATTAAAAAATAAAATAAACTGTTGAACCAGGGCCAGTGAGAGTAAATAAATGTATCCATATCTGTATAATAAATGGATTTATATTTAAATACAAGGTGATAAAAAGGTCTTATATGTGTATTTATACATATATATTTAAATAAAAGGAGGGTGATAAAAGTATGTATATTTCTATAGATCTACAGAATCCGACTCCCCCCTCCTTCACCCGCCTCCCCCCTCAGCCGGGTGTCGGCTGTCTGCTCTCCAGGAGAAAAGAGCCTCTCGTGTTCCGTCACAGGTGATGAGCTCGTAAAGTGGAACCTTTAATAACCAAGTAGAACGTTTACTCAAGCCGTTTATTTCTGTTGGTGTCTCAGGAGACGCTCAGGAGCTTTTCTTTCAGGATTCCATCCTCACCGCGTGGTCTTCATCTATGAGAATCTTTGAATTCCACATTTACAATGTTTAGAAATGAGCACTTCTTTCATTAGACAATCCCTCATTTACATATTTAAACATTTCACACCACATGTGCAGAAACATAATTTCCCGAATGTATCAGTAAATGTTTTGCTATGAAGGTATATTTGTGTCTTTATTACGCAAACAGAAAAAAAATATTGACAGCAAATGTATAAAATGTATAAACTGAGGATAAACTATTTGTTTTCTTACGAAACTAGAATTTTTAACTGAAAAACAAAAACTTTTGCTCTCAAAAAAACCCCTTCGTTCCAAAAATGTTATTGTCTTGCGGAGTCTTTTATTAAACAACGACATGGAGGGCTGCCGTGTTGACATGAAGCCCCACTTGCCCGCATGTCACGTTAGCGTGTAGCCCACCGTTAGACATGCCTCACGTCTATGTTAGCTACAGTTATCTATGACACAGTGTATCGCTACCTGTTACCTGTTGGCTGTTTCCTGTTTACTTCTTGGTGCCGGTGGTGGTTCGGCCCACAGGGAATAACCACCATACGGAACCGTAGTTCGCTGGTGGTGCCAAGAGGCGATCTTTAAGGGTGGAGGCGACCCAGTCGCCAAGTTCCGGGTCCTTCTTTTTCAGCGCGACCAGCACGTTGAGGTCACCGCCCCACTTCTTACACAAATCGATGGAGAGGTTCCTGATAAACTGCCTCAGGGTTTTGGGGTCGAGGTCAAAGTCGGTGCCCTCCAGCTCAGCCCGCGTCCTCTCCAACAGAGGCTCAACGTAGACACCAACGTCTGAGGCGGCGTCCACCTTGTTCTTTTTGAGTGTCTTAGCGACCAGCGACCGGAGTAGGAACTCCAATGTCTTTTCCTTAACGCATGAGGACATCTTTTCCTTTACAACCGGAGATGGAACAACCTCTACCTCTGAGTCGTCTTGGTCTGGATGGTAGTTGGGACCTCGGGCATCGGGCCTTCGACTGGGCCTCCATGTCGGTTTAAAATCGGACATTTTGTCCGTCTGGGTTTCTTGTGGTTGACTGTGAATTGTTGTTATAATTATAATCTCTTATAGTAAATATCCTGCTGGTGTGTCCAATGAACTGACCGGGATGAACCTATGTCCTTAACTAATCGAGTGTCCATTCCAACGTTCAAATCATAAACAAACAACCGTCACCATGGCAACCGCGTCGCTGGTCCGCGACAGCTGACTCAAAGGGGAAAAAAGGGAGCGACGCTTAAAGTCGAATTATGCAAATTAGTTACAGTTGTTAGTTACTAACAATTAGTTAGTTATTAGTTAAAGGAAAAAGTGATTTTCTTTCAGTGATTTATTTTTCAGCATCAATTATGTGGCGCAGCCTCCACGGCTTCACGTGCCTCGTTGGAAAGGTATTTTAGATGTAAGATGGTAAAAGGACGTCAGTGTACAAGTGTTCAAAGGCTGTAAACTATTACCTGAGGTAGTGGGGTGAAGGATCAATGTAATGTTTCAGTGTAATCATTTAATCAAAAACAAGAACATAATTAGGATATTGTGCCTCACTGTACGTCCATGATACCGGTAAGCGAACTTATCTATGTGGTCAGTGAACGTTACACATACAATACTTCTAACTGGTATTATAAAGTAGTACTTAAGTGAATGTACTTGCTTACATTCCACCACTGTAAAGTACTGAATATTTATTGTACTTTGTACAGTTGCTCTCATGTCAACAACACAAGTATAAATACATAGATATGATGTAATCGAGTAATATATTTGCTTCCTGGCAGGAACAAATCATAAAATATGATGACGTAGGTGATGACCCGGTGGGAGCAGCAGCGCCCCCTGCAGGGAGACTGCGTCGTTTCCGTCTTTTGCCTCCTCGTGACGTCACGGGCCGGTTTCCCAGGACTGCTGCGGGAGTCGGAGGCTGCGGGGCGGGCAGAGTGTGGCCCAGGCTGCCGGAGCGGACACCTCGTATCACCCGGAGACAAACAGACCAGGTGTGTGCGTGCGGGCTGAAGGAAGCGGAGGAGCCTGCGTCTCTCCTTCTCTACCGGGGGTTTAAAGCACCGAGTACCGGGAGCTCCAGACGAGGTAGGCAGCGGCACCGCGACGAGCCGTTACCGTCGGCGGTGTTAGCTTCCAAAGCTGTCAACACCGCACGGGTGGCGTTAGCCCTTCTTCCCGACACCTGGCGACTAGCTACCTGGCTACAACAGGTGTCTAATGCTCCAGCAGGTAGCCGGGATTCGTTTGTTCCTCTTCTGCCTCGGTGGGGGGGGAATGTCTCGTTTTTCGTCCTGCTTTTGTTGGAGATGACGCCGGACTCCTGCAAACATTTGTCAATTTAAAGTTTTTGTGGATATAAGTAGAGGCTCGCGTGTAAAACAACGTGATTGAATACACGTTTTGAAGGATTTTGTCAGACTCTACAATTCGGCACTCAAATAATCCACCGTGTGTTTTTTTTATTGTAGTAAAGCTCCAACATTTTCCTTCACTCATCGGCGCTGCATGCGGCCAAAGGGTTTAAGCTGGTTAAAGAACATGCAGGCAAACGGTGTTTAAAAGTTTGATTATTCCGAAATGTGTGACATTTTGTGGTTTATATACATGCCGAATTCTCCAAAATGATCTCCTATATCAGATAAAACAGCCGAATCACTGAGATTGGCCGTTCATGTGACTGGCAAGAAACCCGATTCCCAAATTGTCCCGTTTTTGGAACGAGATCCGGCCCGTCGTCCGTAAAGACTGGACTTGCGCACGCACACATCGAGCACACGAAGCGTTTCAGGGGTTGAGAAGCTGCGAAGGGAAAAAACCCACTGGTGCGTTCATGTGTTGTTGTGCACCGATATGTCACATCTCGGGCACGGCTGCGGCCTACGCACGCACACGCACGCAGCTGAGCCTGGGAAGAAGAATCAATGGGCATGTTTAGCATCAGAAGAAGAGCCGCGTGGGTGTTTTCTGTCCATTGTGACGTTATAGCGATGCTAAAAGAGTGTTTCATCCTCAGAGGTGACGATCCAGTTAACATGCGCAGGCATGTATGTGCTGTGTTGCATGATTACATAAGATATCTCTCCTTGTGTTCTTGAGGCTGAAGCTGCTTTTGTAATTACATTATGGGGGACTTTATTACCTTATATATATATCTCTCGTGCATCTGTTTGGGTGTAGGTCAGCAAACTGCTGACTTGTGAGGGACTTTGACTCACCTCCACTTTGTTTTATGGCCCTTTTATTGACCTGTAGTCACATCATGTCACATGTGTTACCGTGCTTGTTGTAGCCGCGTCTGTCTGTCCCAACGTTCAGTAACTTTAGGGCTCAAAGTCCTCTCAGGAAGTGTCTCTGCACGGCTGCATGGTTATCCGATTAGTTGGTGGCTTCACAGACATGCATACAGCAGCTAGTACTTTGAATTGTGTGTAAAAGTACTCTATTGTCTTTTTGACTTCCTGCATGAGTGCTCGGCATGCTGGGTAACGGCTCAAGTCCAAGTGTCTCATACGAGATAAGCAGTTTATGTGCGTCCTAACCCATTTAAGATATCCTTGTGTGGAGCGAGAGAGAGGTAGTACTACTCTGTACTTGTACTCTGATCAGAGAGTATTGTCTCGTTCTGAGGAGGAAGCAGCTGGAGGTCATAGGTCAGAGAGGGGAATTGTTGGGATAACCAGTCGAGGAATATCCTGGAAGTTTATTGTGTGAGTCGGGATAAAAAGATAAACATCTACATAGATGTATATCAATATCTATATATATGTCTACATAGATACATATATAGATATATATGTAGAGGTCTATGTCATTTACATTTTACATCCTCTACGGTTTATTTCAGCTTCTGGCTGATGAACGTTATGATTGTAACGATGGTTTAAAACTAACAAAATCCTTTTTTACACCGCCCACTCTCCTCTTCTCCACCCAATTGCCTCCTCTGCACCACCAGCTACGTAGTCGGAGGCTTCAGTTGGACTAATGCTAGCTAATGCTAACCGCCCTGCAGCCCTCACCCTCTCTTGGGTGGAGGTGATGGAGCAGCGGGGTTTAGACGATGGAGGTTTGTGGTGATGGGGAGTTCTGAGGGAGGTGAAACCTCACGTTGTTGTTGATTTCTACCTCTCGTCTTTGTTCATGAGGACCACCAGTCGTTTTTCACTCGTAACGTTTTGCAATGAACAAGATGTTCACACGTCTGCAGATAAACGAAGCCTCTATTCGATCACATTTCATCAACTGTTGAATGAATCGATAGGTGGAGAAGAGTTTTAAATGTGATTATATTCCAGTTTCAATGTCTTTGAGTGGTCAAAACATTCAGCTTGAAACCTCCGTTCTGAAACGTGCTGCAGTCAAACCAAACGTGTAAACTAGACCTCTAGTTCAGTAAAGGAAGCTTCATTATTCACCAGTGAAGACAAAACACCCAAAAGCTATTTTAAAACCCGTGTGTGTATTATTAGTCGTCCGATCTTCTTTTATCACGATAGTTTTCAGAAGTTTCTCCCACACGTTGGGTCTGTCACCGTGGGGGGCGGGCGTATCACCTGTGACCGGTTTCAAAGCTGAAGGGCTCCCCTGGCACGGAGCCCATTGCATGCTGGGTAATATTTAGTGGGAAGAGGTTGTGACGGTGCTCTTCTGTGAAAGGATACTAAGGTCGTACAAGTCCACTCTCTCTCTCTCTCTCTCTCTAATTAAAATATATATATATAATGTATTATACTGTTAACCGCTGCTTTTTAAAATGTATAAGTAAAAAGACTGAACACTTTTTTGATACTTTAAAGTCTTTATAACATCTGATCGTTCTTCCTGTTCGATTATTCTCATCATTGGTTAATCAGATTATAATCTCATATCTATATAATAAATCTCTTCACTTGGATCAGAGATTAATTTACACAAAATAAGACTTTTAAACCAAACAGAAAAATAACCAAGTATTTTAATCATTCATATTTGGGGTTCTAGTCCAGGCCCTGAGTTCACGGCCCCCGGGAGAACATTTTCTAATATTAGGATGTGTCATATATTTAGCTCGTCTTCCTCAACTGACTCGTTCAGGAGAAACCAGTTTTTTATTTTTTTCTTGGCTGCACGCAATCTTTCCCAGGATGCCTCTGGCTATATGGGTGGGCGGGGCTCTTGATCCTCGCCGCGTCAGCCCTCTTCCCCTCTCTTCTTGTTTGGTGTCGGTTTGATCCTCTGCAGAGAGGAAGTGACGTCATAGACTCCCAATTAACCTCCATCAGGACATGAGACAATGTCCGCAGGAGACAGGAAACCACAAACCAGGAGATGCTTTTTAGGTCATGTTCCTCGCCTAAAAGGTCCTGAGCGACTCGTGGGTCCCCGCAGCTCGATGGGGCCCAGAGTCAGCTGATCAATGAGTTCATCAACGAGGGGAACGCTGGTCAGCTGACGCGTGTGTGGGATGTTCTGGGGTCGTCTTCCTTGTCTGCGAGGGTCTCCGTGTGGTGGACGACCTTTGAGCGACTCGGTTTATGGCCGTCGGACTTCGCCTGCTGGGGGCGACTCGTCAATCTTTAAACCGCCGCAGTGGAAGTTTGTGAAACTTCAGCGGATTCTTCAGCTCGGCTGAAGTCATCAGAAACGAGACTTTGACTTTGATTACTGAGGACCGTCCCATTGAATAAAAGCAGCTGGTTGGCCTTCAGCTTCACTGAAAGGAATCTCCTGCGGTCACTGAACGCACCTTGCTGCGGCCAGGCGTTGCCCTCGGTGTGGCATGCTGCGTACCTTTCATGCTGCTTAGTCCTGACGTAACAAAAAGGTGTGTTTCTTTTCAAAGAAAACCACAAAGGGAAGAGATGCATTGTGGGTGTTTGTTTGATGTCAGACGTCTGTTTGTTTACACGACAAATAAGACTGCAGACTCGGCGTGTATTGTTTCTTTGTGCGTCTGTGTTTGCAGCAGAAATATTTTGGTTGCACGTGTGTGAATCCGACCAATGTCCTCGTTTAACATTTTGATTTGTCTCCGCCCACTTTGGGAGGAGGAGAAGGTGTGTGGGGGTTCAGTTCTGTAATTAAATAAAAAAATCATCAGAATCAGCAAATAAAAGTCTAGCCGGAAAAAAACAAGTACTTGTCAATACTAGAAATGGTAAAACTAATGTAAAACTAAAAGTGTGTGTGAGTGTGTGAGTGTGAGTGAGAGTGAGATCGGAGAGATTGAAATGTGACCCGTGCAGTGCAACAGAAGGACGACCTCACACTGTTGCTCTGTTGTCAGTCTGCCCTCATGGTCCCTGAACACATCACCACGTGACCTCTCCAACAATCAGCTGTTTGTCAGTGAGCAGGGCAGTGGGTCGATGTGTGTGTGCGTGTGTGTGTGTGTGTGTGGGGCGCGCACGCACACACTTGAACCTTTAGAGTAAAAGCTGCTGGTTTGAGCTGAACAGATTCTCATCCTGAGCTGTTTGAGGCTTTTCCTTTTAAAGGGACACCGCATCTCTTTGTTGTTTTTATCTAAAAGAAAGAAAACATGAAGGTTTGTTGAACCAAATACTCTTGTTTCCAGCTGGTCAGTTGTGAGGATTTGCTGCATTTTCAGCATTTCTGTTTCTTTTAATCTCTGCATAAATAATATGTTTTAGGAAAGAGTGATCGATTTTTATCACGATTTGCTGACCAGTCAATAGATGATTGGTTGGTTCCCGCCCTCAATGGAGCGCGCTCAATACGCTTTACAAGTGGACATCGCCATGGCGACGTCTTTCCTTGGTTCGTTTTGAAGCCCCGGGTTCAGCTTTTTTTGGCTGCTGCCATCTTGGTTTGGTGATGAAGGAACCGCAGTGATGCTCATCAATGTGTTTTAATGGACACTTGAACCTGTGACCTGCAACCACGGGGAGCCGACCTCATCACACCTCGCCCCACCCGATTCCAACAAGGCCAGGGGCATTATTTCATGTCACCGCGTCATTAAGTCTATCCTCCCCCCATGTGGAAGGAGAGCAGGAGCTTTTGGGGCGTTACATGTCGCCAGGTAAAAGCCGATGTTTACCAAGTGAAAGGGGCGGAGCCACAAAGCTTCGGGCCTTTGTGTTTGTACCTCGTATAGAAAAGAATGCACCGTCATTTTTTGAAAAAGCCCCCAAAAATGATGGGCAACTTTAAATATGAAAAAAAATAAAAATAAAGTTGGAAAGCATAAAACAAAAAAAGATATTTTACATTTTATCGGGAAACATCAGCCATCAAACTACGTTTTAATTTTGCATTAAGTTGTTATTTCTTTAGTTGGGTTTTATTATTTAATCTCAGTGACCGATTATCTTGTCATTCATCCTAGCTATCAATTATCAAAACAAAGTAATTTTATATTTGGGGTTTTGAGGTTTATTTTTCTTGCACAAATTATTTTAATTTGTAAATCTTAAACGAGGATTCAATGTAAAGAAAGATATTCAACGTTTTTAATAGCAGACATTTAGCCTTGTATTCACTTTTCTTTTAGTTTAACAATGCTTACGGTATTAATTAATAACAATTTTAAATAATGAATACAGAAGTGCTTTGTTGCAGATAGCATCATCTGTCTTGTATTCTACGCACACACACACACACACACACACACACACACACACACACACACACACAGACGTTAACGCCGGCGCCTCTCTGCTCGCCGTGCTTTTCCAGAATCCCCAGCGTGCTGATAGTGATGGAGGACGGGAAGCCGGTGTGGGCGCCACACCCGGCGGACGGCTTCCAGCTGGGAACCATCGTGGACATCGGAGCTGACAGCCTCAGCATCGAGCCCCTCAAGCAGAAGGGCAAGGTGAGCGACCTTTGACCTGTGGAGAGCTGCGTGCTAGTGGTTAGCGGGGACGCTTTGTCCCCGCTAAGAAGAGGCTGAAGAGCTTTAGGTTTCCACGTGATCTCTGGAAGAGAATAAATAAAGTAGGAAGTTGAGTGTCTCTGTCCTCCACTCAAAGCTTTTATGTCGCTGAGAGCCGGTCTCCGTGGTAACGCACCGAGTGCACCCTGCTACCCGTAAAAGCTCTTACCCAGAAGGCATCTGTGACGGATTGTGTGTACTGTCAACCTATAAAACCCACACACAACATGCGTGAAGTCTCATGAAGGTGCAGCAGGTGTTCCTCTGCTTCCTGTAGATCGGTTACTCATAAAACAGGACAGGACTTAAACCTTTTCTCGGCCACATGATCCCTCGTGATCCGACCTTTGACCTTCCCCTCCTAGTTGGAGGGGAAGTAGATCATCACATCTGCCACATCTGGATGAGGAGGTGTTGTTTTCACACTGTCTTCACTCAGAGGTCGGAACAAAGTCGGCCTGTACGGCGTGTCAGTGTGTGACGATGCGTTCACTGGCTGTCAGGAATCCACAGAGATGCATCTGTCCCGTAAATCAGTTCTAATGGTCTCGCTGTCGACTCACTAATTATTATTGTTATTATTATTATAATTAGAATTATCATCATATTTATAATTATTATAATTATGTTCCCATTATATTTGATTATTACTATTGTTATTATCATTATTATTATTATGTTTTAGTAGTCTTAACTTTTAATTTTAACTAATCTGGGTTGTATTTAAAATACACCTTTTTAAATATCAGATGAACTGGGAGCAGATGAAGAGACCTTTAGACAACAAATTAAGAGAGGAATAATAAAGAAATAAAAATACAACTTGTGAGAATAAAAACAGTTAATCTGTGATCTCCTGCAGACCTTCCTGGCTCCTGTGAACCAGGTCTTTCCTGCTGAGGACGACGTCAACAAACACGTGGAGGACAATTGTGAGTTTCCTCTTCATCCATCGAATGTTTCTAATCTCATCCAGAATGTTTTAATTAATTTCCATAGAATGTGTGGTGAGAAGTTTGTTTAACACAGATTTCATCTTTCTTCTGTTCTTTTTCCTACTCCTCCTCCTCATAAAATTATTAATATTATTGTTTTTATTATCACATAAGATCAGTCATCTGGACTCATTGGTGGGTTAAATGTTAAATACGTCATGTCTCTTTCTTATGTGGATGTTTAATTGCTGTATTCTATGCGTCTGACATGTTCATGATGTCATAATGTGACTCTGATGTTGTTTGTTTCTCAGGTTCTTTGATGTACTTGAATGAAGCTACTCTGCTCAACAACGTCCGCGTGCGATACAGCAAAGACAAGATTTATGTGAGTCATATTTTCAGCGGCACGGTGGCGTGGTGGTTAGCACTGTCGCCTCACAGCAAGAAGGTCCTGGGTTCGACTCCGCCCAGTGGCCTTTCTGCGTGGATTCTCTCCGGGTTCTCCGGCTTCCTCCCACAGTCCAAAGACATGCTCTGGGGATCAGGTTAATTGGGGACTTTAAATTAATAGATGTGTGAGTGTGTTAGCGATTCTTCGATTGGCTGGCGACCAATCCGGGATGTACTCTGTCCTGTGTGCAGGATAAGCGGTTTGATGATGGATGGATATTTACAGCGATGAAAAGAATAATAACTGTTTGTGTCAAAAATCAAAAGGGATCAAAGGACTGAGACGCACTGTGTCTCACTCTTACAACATGCTGTTAAAGGCAACAATACAATATATGAATAAATATAAATATAAAACAAATGATAAGTTACGTATGATGTGATAATATGATATAAGAAGTGCGTTACAGAAATGCTCAATAAATAAAATATGAAATGAATGTGATTTTGACTTTGCTGCCCCTGATGGCTGAAGAGGGAACTGATTGCTGACTGCTGAAAAACTAATCCAGTTAATAATCCATGATCTGTTTAATGATATCCCATTAGAGGAGATTATTCTGTTCTTTAAATCCTCTCAGCCGTCTTTGTCTTCAGAGGCCTGAAGGCAGGAATCGGATGCACTTTGTTGAACAGGGAAATCTGGGAAATGTAGTCAGTACACAACGTGTTGTTATGAGGCTGCAGTTTAGCTTTTGATGATTTGTCTCCTGTATTTATGTTTGCTCTTCTTCCTCTCCTTATCCTTCTTCTCTTCCCTGGTCTCCATCTTGTCCTCCTGTTCTTTGTCCTTGCTCTTCTTTGCCTTCCTCTGGCAGACGTTCGTAGCCAACATCCTGATAGCAGTGAACCCGTACTATGACCTCCCAAAGCTTTACTCCCCAGAGACCATCAGCAAGTACCGCGGCCGGTCTCTGGGGACGCTGCCGCCGCACGTCTACGCCATCGGTGAGTCTCTCTGTCCTTTATTCATTCATGTTACGGGGTTAGTGTCCTGTTGGACAGGAAGCCACTAACCACGGTTCCCAGCACAACGTGAAGTTAACTGTTCACCTCATCACTCCAAAACCCCAAATCCATATCATCATCTCAGCTTTAAATATTCTGCTTGAATTCCTTTAAAAGACCAAAACCATCAGATAATTGATCCTCTTCAAGGTTCATCAATCATTTCTAGTTGCAATTCCCCATCTGTCCAGCAGTAAGCATTTAGAGTTCCAACAGTCCCTGAACATCACAGCATCTCTCCCTCAGACTGGCAGACTAATTGGGTGGTCTGGGGGGGGCCTGTGTGTGTGAGGTCATCTAACAGCTGCCTCTGGTTCCAGCTGATAAGGCCTACAGAGACATGAAGGTCTTGAAGATGAGTCAGTCCATCATCGTCTCGGGGGAGTCCGGAGCCGGAAAGACGGAGAACACCAAGTTCGTCCTCAGGTGAGGACGCGGTCATGTGACTACTGATTATTGATCCAGACAATCCGATCAGATCCTTTCATCATCCGTATTAACTTGTATAACTGTAGATATAGATGATATAGACTCATAACTAGATATAGATGATATAAACACGTATAACTGTAGATATACATAACTGTAGATATAGATGATATAGACTCATATAACTGTAGAATTGCTCCCTGGGCAAAATGTAAAAAGCCATGGATTAAAAATGTAATGTAAGTCGCTTTGGATAAAAGCGTCAGCTAAATGACCTGTAATGTAATGTAGATATAGGTGATATAAACTGTAGATCTGGTGGAACCTGCTGGTTCTGAATGTCATGGTTTCTTGAATGTCTTGCCTTGAATGTCAAGGTACTTGACGAGCTCTTATGGAACCGGGCAGGACATTGATGAGCGCATCGTGGAAGGTCAGACTCTGCTTCTTTGTGTATTTTAGTCTCTGGGTGGATTGTTTGTGTTTGGCTCATGTTGTTGTTGTTGTTGTTTATCCTCCTCTGACTCACCAGCCAACCCGCTGCTCGAGGCCTTCGGAAACGCCAAAACGGTCCGAAACAACAACAGCAGCCGCTTCGGGAAGTTTGTGGAAATCCACTTCAATGAGAAGGTGCTTTATTAGAGACTCTGGTGGTGTATTGATGATGAATTGGCACCACGTTGCCCGGGTAACCGTCTGAAACCTCCAGAGACCGATGTTCTTGTGTTGCTGTTGATCCTTTGAGGCCTCCTACTTCATTAACAGTCATGGGGTGCTTTCAGAACGCCGTGGTGGGTGGCTTTGTGTCGCACTACCTGCTGGAGAAGTCCAGGATCTGCAGGCAGAGCAAAGAGGAGAGGAACTACCACATCTTCTACCGGCTGTGTGCCGGAGCCCCCGAACCCATCCGGCAGAAGTTCCACCTCAGCTCCCCGGACACCTTCAGGGTACGAGCCTCTTCCAATAGCTGTCCCTAGAAGGCCTCTCAGATAACACACACACACACTGACCATCTAGAGCCACTGGAGGTGTTTTCCATCTTCTCCCGCTGGGCTGCACAGAGTCCACTTATAGAAACAACTGTCACAAATGTGGAAGATGGACCTGGTTCTATCTGCATATCTGTCCCACTAAATTAAACAAAGACCAGATGAGTAAACGGAACACGTCACATGAGCAGAGCCGCTATGGTCGAGGGGCGGGTCTTAGCGAGGGTCCATTTGTGTGTTTTGTTAAATGTAGCTTGACATGTAAAAATATAATGAATCCTCTAAATGAACAAGTGGCGAGTAGCAGCAGGACGAAGGGAGTAACTGGAGATGTTTCACCTCATCCACTTGATGGAGAACAGATGTTGAACATCACATGACAGATTCAGGCCGCCGACCTTCCACTCAACCAATGAGACGTTACCATGACTAGGTCCACTTGTTTATGGTCTCAGAGAACCAAAGAATGTAAATAGATAAACGTATGTAGACGTATAGAAGTAGGAGGAGACAATGGACAGTGACCATTATCATTATAATTCATTTACTCACTGAAATGAATTAACAGAAGCATGGAGAGATCTTTATTATTCCAGAAACACTCAAGAACTCAACGTTTACGTGCTTTCTCTCCATCTATCTATCATATATAATCTGTTAATTCTCTCTTGCAGTATCTCAACAGAGGATGCACTCGCTTCTTCGCCTCCAAAGAGACGGACCAACAGGTCCTGCAGAACCGCAAGAGCTCCGAGGTACAAACCCTTCACAGCTCACGTCCTGCTTTTTGTCCACCCTCATTCTACAGTTAAGGCTGGCGCATGCTTCTGCATCTTTACGCACAGTTGTGTCGACGCACTCGTTTAAATTCATGGTTCTAACCGTGAATTTGCCCGATGTTTGCGGAGATCTCCCTCCATGAATCAGAGGCCATCCGCGCGTCCTTATAGTCCGCCAGTGACGGCTTGTAGAAGTGGTCATATTTATGCATTTCTTCCGACAAAAGCTCTTCAATGTGATCCGTTCTCTCGTAAACATTCTGTGTGAGACTTCGTAAAGTATGTAGTTACCAGACCAGTCACAGCCTTGCGGGCTGCAGGAGGCGTGCGTCGCTTTCGAAAAATGGGCCGACGCACGCAAGGAGGTGTGAAAAGGCACGCAAGGGACACGTAAGGGGCTCTACGTCTGCGTGTCCTTGCGTCTCTCTGAAAACGCAGAAGCATAAACTAGGCTTTACTGTAGTTAACTACGATTCAGATCAGACTCTCTGCAGAGAGCACGAGGATGACTCTGTAGATCCAGACTAACTAAACTCAGAAGAACGACCAGTGAAGCTCCTCACGTTTGATAAAAGCCGCTTGGTTTCTCTCTGCAGGGCACAGCGGTCTGACCCTGTATGTCTCCATGCATCTAGTGGTGCTGAAATACCAGAAGCTTTAAGAACATTCTGAGGGACCTCTTGGTTTCTACTGGGTCTTAAAGCTTCTGAAACCCGTGGCAGCTCTTCAGAAGGTCCCATTGGTTCGAGGTTTTCAGGGTAGATTTTAAACTGCAGCACAGAACCTCAGAGACTTAATTCACAGAGACTTGTTCTCAATAAACAAATGAAGAGAACAAAGCTTCCTTGATGTTTCCTTTTTAGAAGGTATGTCTTTATTAATTAAGCTGGATTCAGTGAAGATTACCTCAACAACAAAGATATCTAAGGTGTGCTCCAGAACAAATCCCTGTGCTCTGAGACAGCATTTTAGATGTTAATGTATATAATATACACGTATTAATAAGAAAAGGCCCTCAGAGGCTGATTAATTATACACAAGTATTCCATCCAGCATTGTTAATTGTTATAACCATTAAAGAGGAACTTGGACTGAAAATGTTCTACCAAGAGATGTGTGTGTTTTAGAGCCCCATCACAGGCATTCATGTCAAGTTGTTAACTTTCTCTAAAACGTGAAGGAATCTCTGCACTACTTTTTTAACAATGGGTAATTTTAACATTCTTTTGCATGTAGATATCATAACTATTTCATATATTTTACATGTAGACTAGCAGGAAACCACAGGACGTCTCCTTGAACTTGTATGCATTTATTTATCTTCATTAAAATATAAAACATCATCATACAGGATCATAAATTCCTGTCTTAAAGCTGCAGTACACACCTCCTGCCACCAGGGGGAAGACGAGGTCCACGTTGAGACATTGTTAAAATAAGAGGAAATGCAAAATACTACAAACAAGAATCAAAAGCCCTCAAAGAACCATCATATGTGGTTTAAAACGAGCACTCTCCCCTCGGCCAAAGGCCACAGACCAGATCCTCTACCAGACGCAACATGTTGCTTAAAGGTTTTCACTCCTCCGATTGAATGTCGCGCTTTTACTAAATGTCAGACACGGGAAGCTTGTAGGAATCCGTGAACAAGCATACGGGCGTGAGGAAAGGAAAGAAGGGTGCAGAGGGAAGGAGGAACAAGGGGAAGGAACACAGGAAGAATAAATACATGAAGTGCAGGAGGTGAAGAAATTAATGAAGGCTCTCCCTGCTCCTCTTCCTCAGCACATGAAGGCGGGGCCTCTGAAGGACCCGCTGCTGGACGACCACGGCGACTTCAACCGGATGTCTGGCGCCATGAAGAAGATCGGCCTGGACGACACGGAGAAGTTGGACCTGTTCCGGGTAGTGGCCGGCGTGCTGCACCTCGGCAACGTGGACTTCGAGGAGGCCGGGAGCACCTCAGGTGAGCGGGAGACACCCGGGGACGACTCCCAGGAGACGACCCCCAGGGGACGACCAAAGGGCTCCGGAGGGTCGAGGGTCTCACGCTTCATGTCGCTCAGCGCAAAGCAGCAGCAGCTGCAGCAGTTGTGGTATCTTGTTTCATAGTGAAAGCGGTTTGACCCTCTTTAAAGCTCCGCCCCCCTCCTCGCCTCGCAGGTGGCTGCACCATCAAGAACCAGTCGAGTCAGGCGCTGGAGCACTGCGCCGAGCTGCTGGGCCTGGAGGAGGAGGACCTGAGGGTCAGCCTCACCTCCAGGGTGATGCTCACCACGGCAGGGGGCGCCAAAGGAACAGTCATCAAGTGAGAGGACGCACACACACACACGCACGCGCGCACACGGCTACACTCAATGGCTCACACGCTCACTGCGGGTTTCTTTGTATGTTAAAAGAAGCACTAGAAATGTACAAAGATGATGTGTGTACATCTATATGTATAGATATCTATTATAGATACACACGTGTACATGCATCTATACACGTGTGTATCTGCTGCCTCTCTGATGCAACCAGATCACCGATCAAGTTACACCGATTATTAATGCACCCATTTAGGTGAATATGAGCACAATTTATTGAGAGGAGCAGAGGGAAGTGCAGGGATGTAAACATCTCCCCTGGCTGACTTTGTTTATATTTGATATGATTTATTTAAACATTAGCATCCTCCAGGTACTGATGGCATCACATTTATCAGTTAGTTTAAGGAAGTAGATGACAAGCTGACTTGACTTTAAAGAACCAGAGGTTGAAGCCTCTGTCTCTGGACGCCGGGGGGGGGGCTCTCTGCTGGTGGCAGATGGTGGAAGGGATGAGAAGCTGACGGGAATAATCGCTTCCAACGTGTTTATTCTCTCCGTTTAAAGCCCCAAAAAAGCCAACCTTCTGACTAAGGAAGCGAGGGATCGTCTTTGCACCAGGAGGGGGCAGATGGTTGAAGGGATGGAGGGAAGGAATAAACATAAAGGAGCGGCTTCCAGCATGTTGGTGTCCTTCAGGGGGAGAAGGGCTGAAGCTGCTCAGTAAAACTGAGCTTTACGTGCTGTGAGGACGGTACCAGAACTCCCTCTTCAGAAAACAAAGAGCGTGGGCGGCTTTCTGTTAAACTCTCTGCTCCTAATTCCAAAACACACTGAGGCCCCCCCCCGAACTGTGACACGGCCTCGTCCTAATGTGAAAACATCTCACGCATTCCCTTTGATTTGGTGAAGGTGGATGAGGGCCAGGAGGTGAAGGGAAGCTGCCAGCTGCTGATCCATTTGTCTGGGTTATGTGTGTGAAGGGGGGGGAGGGGGTAAAGAGGGGGGAGGGAGTTTGGATTTAGAGGCAGTTTTGGTAACTGAAGCGGGCGTCTCCACGGGAACCATCTTCTCCGCTTAGAAACAACAAAGCGTTTGAGCCTTTCATCTGAGCAGCGCTCCCTTCACGTCTCTTTCAGGTGTTGCTCTCAGCTGGTGCAGAAACACACCTTTTCTCGCCGTTTATGGGAAAATAATCAAAGAATTATTTCTGAGAACTACTATTTCAATTAGAAAGTATCTTCATTCCATGTGAATAACTATGATAAGATATCCGTTAATTACCACGTCGCTTCCTTAAGACTGTTTATTCTGAACCCTTTTTACCCAGGTGACCCCGGGAGGGTTACAGGAAGTGGTTTTACCCCTTTAAATGTAGACATGAGGGCGTTTTCTGACCCTCCGCCCTGCAGGACGTCCATCGCATCCCACCTGCAGGCCACCTTTTAGAGGAGGATGCTTTAGTGTGTGTGGAGAAGTCTGGATATTGACACACACACACACACACACACACACACACACACACACACACACACACCCTACCTGATTGGGTTTGTATATATATATATATAAATCCCAGAAACCGTCTGTAAGATGCACTCTGCTCTGGTCTCCTCTGGTGTGACCCGTCATGTGACTCTTGGTCTCCAGAGTCCCTCTCAAAGTGGAGCAGGCCAACAACGCGCGGGACGCCCTGGCCAAGGCGGTGTACAGCCGCCTCTTCGACCACGTGGTGACCCGGGTCAACCAGTGCTTCCCCTTTGACTCCTCCGCCAACTTCATCGGCGTGCTCGACATCGCCGGCTTCGGTGGGTATCTGTCAAAAGTCAGTCAGTCAGTCAAGAACACGCCTCACGGTTTGGATCAAGTTGGTTGTAAAATATGATCCAGATGTTTCAATGTTGAATTGATATTTAATCACATTAAGATGAATATGAGGTGATCCAGATGTTTAATCATTCATATGGTTGTTTAACCACCATTTAGATATATGGGGATCCAGATGTTGGGTTGCTATTTATCTAAATCTAAATTCTTTGATGTCTCACAATGCTTCATGATGTCTCATAATGTTTCATAGTCCTTCATGATGCTTCATAATGCTTCGTGATGCCTCATAATGTTTCATAGTCCTTCATGATGCTTCATAATGCTTCATAATGCTTCATAATGCTTCGTGATGCCTCATAATGCTTCATGTTTATCTTCAGAGTACTTTGAGCACAACAGCTTTGAGCAGTTCTGCATCAACTACTGCAACGAGAAGCTGCAGCAGTTCTTCAACGAGCGCATCCTGAAGGAGGTGAGAGACACCCCCCCCCCCACACCCCCCCCGACTCAAAGACAACATCTATCCCCCACGGCCTTTAGTGAGCGCCCCCCCCCATTAGACTGACTCTCACTAGAACCCTCTGGTTTGCATTACAGGAGCAGGAGCTGTACCAGCGGGAGGGGCTGGGGGTCAACGAGGTTCACTACGTGGACAATCAGGACTGCATAGGTACGGCCCCCCTGTACAGGTTGTTGTTGTTTGCTCAGGGTGCTGCGCATGTATTTCATATATCTAAGAATTGTTGTTCTTAAACTTTGACGGGTGACTTCAGTCTGTAGCTTTAGTCCCGTCTTTGGACCCATAGGACGAGACTTTGGACCTGAGACGGGACTCCTCTGTCTTAGAGACATGACTTGTCGTCCATGTGACCTCTTGTTACTGAGGACCTGGTCTTGGTTTGACCTGAAACCGGTTCTTCTCGCACAAACGGGTGGGGGGGGGCAGATGGATGCCAGGTGATTTGGAGGTGATGGAGGTTAATTTGGCTTTTTGCTGATGTTGAGCTCTGTGAAATAGCATCAATATGAGATGCTTAACCACAGTGGAGACAGCTGGGAGGGGGGGGCACACACACTCTGTTTACGATGAGCTCTGTACATTGGCTCAGTCTGTGTGCTTTGTGTGCGGCTGCTGTTGTGTACTCGGCATGCAGCACAAAGCAGAAGTGAAAACACAGACTAAAGAAGTTATTGATTTATTTATTTATTAACCCTCGGCTCATTTTGCCAGTTTTGCTTGTGACTGAAGGATGGGAGACGGATTGACGGTAGGTGGAGGGACGGAGGAAGTGCGTCCAAGTCTTTGACTCTTTGAGTCTGAATCTTACTCTTCTTCTTGTTCTGATGATGAGGTCATCAAAGGGATCTTTGTGTTACAGCAGGTCAAGGAGAGACTTCATGTCCTCACACCTCGAATTCGATTTAGCTGTAATTGGGTTTTTAATGGAAGCCTCAGCTTCCATTAACTAACCCCCCCCCCTCCCTCCACAGACCTGGTGGAGGCGAAGATGGTCGGCGTGCTGGACATCCTGGACGAAGAAAACCGACTTCCTCAACCCAGCGACCAGCACTTCACCGACACTGTGCACAACAAACACAAGAACCACTTCCGCCTCACCGTGAGTCCCTCCCCGACTGCTTTCACAGTGGGGGGTCACACCACCTCCTTTCGTTCGTTATTTGCGATAAATAAAGAAAGATGGAACTGAAGCAGAGAGCAGTTCACTCCCTTGTTTTAGTTTATTCTCAAACTGTTGTATATGCCGCCGCCCCCCATCAGGTACCCAGGAAGTCCAAGCTGTCCGTCCACAGGAACGTGAGGGACGATGAAGGGTTCATCATCAGACACTTTGCAGGCGCCGTGTGCTACGAGACGGTTCGTTAGATGTCCTCCTGCCGCTACGTCGACTCACCTGTGCGGAGGCACGAGCCGCGATTAATAAAAGAGCCGCGCTGTCCTTTTTTCAGACCAAGTTTGTGGAGAAGAACAACGACGCCCTGCACATGTCTCTGGAGTGTCTGGTCAGCGAGTCCAAGGACCGCTTCGTCAGAGAACTCTTTGAGAACTCCAACAACAGCAGAGACGGGAAGCAGAAGCGGGGAAGCTCAGCTTCATCAGCGTGGGCAACAGGTTTAGGTGGAGTCAGATAGAGAAGGACCCTCCCCCCCCCCCCATCCCCATCCCCATCAGCTTATTCAGTACTGAAAAGCAGATTAACAAATGCACTCGTCGTCCTTTTCTATTTTAAACCTTTGCACACATGCAAAGAAAATCCGAGCACAAGGAAGCAAAAATCCAGCACACGGCGTAAAATCTCCTGTCCCTTCTGCTGCTGACCAATCAGGGATCAGTGACTCGTGGAGGCTGAGGAACACACAGCAGAGCTCCGGGTGAAGTGACAGCCTGAAGCTCTGCGGGTCTGCATGAAGACCCCACGGGGGGGGGGGGGTTCTGGGGGACAGGAGAGATGTTTACAGCTGGGGGATTCTTCAGTCAGGCTTCGACTGCACAAAATCAATGGTCCGCTGTGGACGTATTTTACACCTCTAAAGTAATCGATATAAGTGGACGTTTATGACGGGAAGCTGTTGCCTCTGCTCTCATCAAACACAGAAACAGGGATTTAACCTCTCAGGAGTCTCTAATCTACTTCCTATGTTAGTCAGTTTGTGTGGTTGTGTTACTTTGTGTGCTTAAAGGGCTCATGGGTTTAACTCCTGAGGAGTCAAATCACTGTTCTGATGGACTCTGGTGTCTTTTTAGGGATCATAGATGAGCATCACTTTGCTTCGTCTACTGTAAAAAAGAACATCATTCCATACCGCTGAACATCTCCGCTGTCCTCTTAAAATCTAACTCACTTCCAGGAATGTATTATGTAAAACTTGTTGATGTAATGTCAGCCTCTAGGATCGGAGTCCATGTGTCTCTGAGAGATGCATTGAGAAGACGGAGAGCAACGTCTTTGTTTACTCTCCTGACTCATCCTGCTCATCTCACCGCTCGGCTCCTCATCGTGTCCTTCAGGAATAAATAAAAACATTTAAAAAAGCACATTGCCCGAGAGCGGCGAGCTGTCCAGTGCAGGAGCTTGGGAGGCCGGGGGAGAGGGGGGGGCTGCACTCATTGAGTCACGTCGCTCCCTATTGACCCTAATTAGCTGACAGATATTCCTGTTTACATATATTGAATATGTGATGTTGAATAATACATCACCATCACTAAAAGGAACGAGAAGTTATTAATTAATCATTAATATTAATAGAAGCACTTCTTTGCTAACAATCCTTTTTAATTCACACTAAAATGATTCATGATGTGAAAACAATATGAAGGCTTCGTGCATGTTGTCAAAATCTAATCCTTATTAAGCTCCACCCGACTGAGTCAAATTAACGTGCCGAGGATGCACGTTTCTTTAAAAAATGTTCTGCTTACCAGGAAACTGCTTCGCAGATGGTTTGTCCTAAGTGAGTGGCATCAAATGTAAAGACTTAATCTGTGTTGAGCCTGCAGAGGAAGATTAAAGACTCCTCTTCCTCTGCAGCCATGAGAGTTTTGGATACAGAGCCTCGCAATTCATGTAGTTTTGGTAAATGTTTGAGAGCCATCCTTTCTGAATGTATATAAGTAATGACTGGGTGCCGCCCCCCCCCCCCCCACAGACCCAGCTGAACATCCTGCTGGAGAAGCTGCGCAGCACGGTCAGTGTGTCCACGTGACTCCCCGGCTCTCAGGTACGGGATTCTGGCGCCGTATTGACCTCCGTTGTCCCTCGTTCTCCTCTCTCAGGGCTCCAGCTTCATCCGCTGCATCAAACCCAACCTGAAGATGATCAGCCACCAGTTTGAAGGCGCTCAGATTCTCTCCCAGCTGCAGTGCTCCGGTCAGTCTCTCCTCCCGTTATAACGCATCCGTACGCGGGAAAACAAACCACGTCAACACATTCTTTCAAAGTATTTCATTCTTCATACAGTGAAGCGTGTTGCTATGTTCTACATGTGAGTATCTAATATGCAGATTATTATTATAAGAAGCTACTACAGTGAATAAATAAAATGGCTCTAACAGGTCATATTACAAGAAAAGAAGAGCTCAAAGATCCTAAATGTGTATTTCCAATGTACACGTGACTTCTGAGCCCTTCTACCAAAATAAAGTCAATAAAACTTCAAACAGGACAGAAAAACTGAATAAACAAAGCGCGTGTGACCCTGCGAGGTACGTTGGACACGTTGTTTATCTGTGCAATGTTTTCTTTAACATCTCGCTGTGTTCATCAGCACATGCTGTTGTTGCTCATTGCCCCCCCCGCCCACACAGACTGTGGTGAAACAACGCTGTGATCCACAATAAACACCGAGCAGAAGCCCTGTGGGGAGGAGGTTGCAAACACAGCAGCAGTGAGGACGAGCTCCTCAGCTTGTGAAGTTCACAGCCCAAAGAGATGGGGGGGGGGGGGGAGCCAGAACCGGCTTCAGGTGTCTCCATCGGAGGGACAGAGGAGCACCTGAAGCACAACAGATGTTTCCCAAATGAAAGAAAAGAGCCTCAGCTCCCAAAGTGGCGATTGATTTCTATGTGAGATCAAAGGCTCATTTGCATTAATTTGCATAAAGAAAAGACGTTGTCTGAATCCAAACGTCTTCATCTGCTCTCCGTTGTGCTGAGAAGTGCAATTCAGCTGTCAGATGTGTGACGACATCTAACGAGCCGTGTTCTGTGTTCTGATTCCTCTCGTGAGATTCTGTTTGAAGTTGAAGAAAATCATCCCAATAACAATTAATAATCTTCACAATGGCGTTATCGTCACTTCCGAGCTGCATTCTGATTAGAATAAATGCAACTGTTACGTTGAAAAGCAAAACGCGACTTGATGGCATTCTTCAAACTGATTCATTCGCTGTGAATGTCAATTAGCAGCGTCTGAGAATGAGCCCTTTGAGTCAGCGCTCATAACGAGGGGGGGGGGCTGTAAACGCAGTTGTTAAGGGAACCGTCTGGCACTGAAGCAGCAGGGTCACCGGTTAATGATGCTAATCGGCTGCTTAGATGATTTGATTTGTTGTGCTCCGCGTCTCCAGCGGGATGTTCTGTGGATGTACTCATGGTCCCCTGAGGGGGAATCCTGATGATTTAGTTCATCCTCTGACTTCTCCGCGATAATGTTGACGTTTATTCGTCATCTGGAAAACTATTGGATGGATTGCATTGACGTTTGTCACAGATGTTAGACTCTCAATTATAAAATCTCTCATGTCATTTAGCTGACTTACAATAAGTGCATTTCATCCATAAGGATACAAACCCAGAAGAACAAAGTGCAATCTTGTCGTGTGTGTTTACTGGATGGAATGCCGTGACCTTTCTTACAGGTGTGCATGGTGCCCAGAAGATGAATGTGAACAACTTTGATTATCCTGCAAGGAAACAAAAACCAAACCCAAAATCAATAATATCTTAAAATGAATTATAAAACAACTTTAATTAAAAACAGGTGCCAGTTTCTTTTCAATACTTGAACACCTGACTGTTTGCACAAGAAGCCAGTTCTTGTCCCTCATGACGAGCTGACAGGACGTGTCTCCGGCCCCCGCAGGCATGGTGTCGGTTCTGGACCTGATGCAGGGCGGCTTCCCCTCCAGGGCTCCCTTCCATGAGCTCTACAAAATTGATACAAGGAGTACATGCCTCCGAAACTCACCCGCCTGGACCCCCGCCTCTTCGTCAAGGTCGGTCCTCGGAGCCCCGCCTGGCTGTTAGTGATGACCTCATCGTAGCCACGCCTCCATGTTCATCCACCTGCTTGTTTTTCAGGCTCTGTTCAAAGCTCTGGGTCTCAACGAGAACGACTACAAGTTCGGCCTCACCAGAGTGTTTTTCCGCCCCGGGAAGGTGAGACCCCCCCCCCCCCCCTCCCCTCCATAAACCTCCCCCCTCCACACCTCCTCATAATGTTATTGGTCCCCCATAGAGAAGCCAATAGGAGCACATTAGTCATTTCTGGCTGCTGCGGTGAGATGAGTATTTATTTAAAAGGAACAAGAGCCAACAAATGTGTTTCTTTTATGTCCCCCACCAGATGAATAATGCATCACCTCTGGGTAGAACGTGTGGTTTCTGGGGCGGGGGGGGGGGGGGGGGGGTTGTACGCATTCTGCAGGACAAACTGTAACTGTGGATTTAACTGAATACATTCCAGCGGGCAGAGCTGAGTTCTTTCATTACTCTGCCCGTCCCTGCGGAGGCATCGGGGTGTGAGCTATATGCTCCGGGGCCCGAGTCCGCCCCCCCCCCACACACACACCCCCACCAAGAGAGAGATGTCACACGGTTCTGGTTCATTAGTGATTTAGGACAGAGACCCAGTCGCTCTGACGCCTCAAGCTGCTGACAACACTTTATGTGCAAGGAGAACTCCGGCGGCTGCGTTGCCACGGTTACTGTCCAATGCACAACTTTATTATACCAGAAAGTATTCAGGTTTAATATTAAATAAATATCCTCTCACTACAGCCACATATCATATAATATGTATATATATATAATATATATGTGCATGCAGCTGTAGTGAGGTGAACACTGTCTATGATGTTGAATCTTGACCCCCCCCACCCACCCTCCGTTTCAGTTTGCAGAGTTTGACCAGATCATGAAGTCGGATCCGGACCACCTGGCAGAGCTGGTGAAGAAGGTCAACAAGTGGCTCATCCACAGCCGCTGGAAGAAGGTCCAGTGGTGCTCTCTGTCCGTCATCAAACGTAAGCCTCTACGGGACCAGTCCATTAAGTCCTGGTCCTCTATTGGACCAGTCCGTTAAGTCCTGGTCCTCTATTTTGATTTGGATATTTAGACATAAATGTCATGATGAATTTCTAAAAAAAAACCTCATCAGACACGTAAATTGTTTTTATTTTGCAACGTTATAGTTTGTTAATATATAAACTGCCAAACGCTGTGACCACGAAGGTGGAACGACCTCTGAACTGTTGGAGGTCATCTAATGATGATGATGATGAGTGCATGGTTGTGGCGGGGAGCTTCAAGTCACTCCTGCAGAGCAAATGTCCCAAAATCCCCGAGGCCTCCACCTCTGAATCCGGGTGGAGGTCGAGTGTGAAGGAGCCCCGGCGCCCTGATGGAGAACACGCCTACCTGAACCCTTAGCTGACTTCCTCTCTGCTCTCTTCTAGTGAAGAACAAGATCCTCTATCGAACCAGCGCCTGCGTCCAGATGCAGAAGACGGTTCGCATGTGGCTCTGCAGGAAGAAGCACAAGCCTCGGTGAGTGAGAGCTCTTCCTCCTCGCCCTGCTCCTCCTGCTCCTTTCTCCCGCTTCTACTTTTTCTGTTTAGTCTTCCTCTCCTTCTTCTCCTTAATATTCTTCCTTCCCTTGCCTCCTTCCTTCCTTGCCTTTGCGCTCCTCTTCCTCGTTACATGCATCTCCCTCCACCTCGCTTCCTCCCTCTTCTTCTTCTTCGTTTATCGGCCACCTTCACAGCTCTCACACACACACATACACAGGCAGCTCTGCTTACTACCTCCATTATTTGGAAATTAATGTCAAAGCATGGGGGAGTCGGGAGGGGGGGGGTGTAGTTTTTCGTCGATGTATAAAAAGTTTTTACTTATGACATTTTATTATCTCTGTGTTGCTACATGAATCAGAAAATGTTATTAAAATGTTAAATAACAGACATAAAATAAAATAGTGTGTGTTTGTGTGCGTTTGTGTGTCAGGATCGACGGGCTGGTGAAGGTGCGTCACCTGAAGACGAGGATGGACCGGTTCACCGAGGTGGTGTCTGGGCTGAAGGAGGGGAAGCAGGAGATGAGTCAGCAGATCCACGACCTGGAGGCAGCGGTGGACTCGCTGATGCTCAAAATCAAGGTGAGGGGGGAGCCACAACCCCCCCCCCCCACACCCCTCCACAGACACACAAACACACACACAGACATACCAGGGGGGTAACGTGGGTGAGTGAGGAACAATAGAATGAAATTAAACTGCACGCCGGAGCGCTTTGACTGACAGCTGGTGCTGCTCCACCAAACGAGAACACATCTCATCCTATTTATATATATTTATCAAATGTCTCCTTCTACCGATATCTATGCATGTCTGTTTGGGGGGGGTCTGCTTTGTGCTCCACATACGGAGCAGATGATGTCATGGCGTCTCATCTTGTTTTTCTGCAATCGGTGAACAGGAAGTGACCGTATTTGGGCCGGTCAGTCAGTGCAGCCCCGTGGCCTCACTATTCACTGACGTAGTGTGTGTGGATGGACAGAGAAGCTGATCCTCAGACCATCTTCTCTGCACTGAAACTGTTCAGCTCTGGAAAGTTGATTATTAGCTTGCAGAGCAACAGTAGTTGCTAACTCATCAGAAATTAAATTATCCAAAAAGTAACTGGATATGAGTCAGCATATTGCTGTGGATGTATTTCCTCCTAATTGCCTTTTACTAACAATAACCCCTTCAAAAAGCCAGTGTTATAAATAACTCCGTGCAGAGCGGTTGAGCTTAATAAACGAGTGTCTGTTTACGTCCTAAAGCTGCATTCTCTGTAGTGACCAGCAGGGGGCGACTCCTCTGGTCCCATAGACGTCTATGAGAAAATGACACTACTTCTCTCTTGATTTATTCCCTCAGTAAACATTGTAAACATAAGTTTTATGGTCTCAGTCTCTAGTTTCAAGTCTTCAACACAGGATGATGTTCATTTAGTAAATTAGATGATCCACCAGATCTTCTCTTCTTTCATAACTCCGCTCCGCCCTCTTTTGGCCTCCTCCAGCACACCGTCATGACCCGGATAGACATCGACCACGAGTACCGGGCCCTGGTGACCCGCTCGGAGCAGCTGCTGACCGCCATGCAGAAAAAGCGGAAGGAGGAGGAGGAGCGCGAGCGGCTGCAACGCATCGAGGAGGAGATGGAGCGCGAGCGGAAGAGGAGGGAGGAGGAGGAGCAGCGCCGCAAGCAGGATGACGACGACCGGCGACTGTGAGTAAATTCAATAATTAAGGGGCTGCTGTCCCATCATTTAAGCCCATTTACATAACGACGCCACAAGGATTTTTTTTTTCTATGGGAGCCGATAAGAGGTCAAAGGTCACGGCCTTGGAGGTCACGAGAGGAGAGGTCAAAGTGAAATGTGATGAGAAAGAAATCAGTCTACGTTAAAATTATGCTTCTTTTTAATTGATTTGGTATTTAGGCTTCACTGGTCCAAACTGCCCGAAAAAAACTTGATGTTTTATATTATAGTTGGAGTGACAGTTTTGAGTAAGAAAGTAAAAAGAAGAAGCTCACACAAACACAGTCGTCACTGCCGTCCCTTTGTCCCTCCTGTTCAGCCTTCCATCTTTGTTCAGTGCCCCTCCTCAGTCCTCCTCAGGACCTCCTCAGTCCTCCTCGGCTCTCCTCTTTGCGTTCGTCACGAGCCACCACCCGCTAATGTAAGACATTAGAGATGACAGTTTTATGAGTTTTATTCCCTCTCCCCCCTCCCGGGACTCGGCTGGAGGTCACAAACCTGCAGGTCGTTGTTTGGAGCTTCAGAAGGTAAAAGTCACTGATCCTGCAACGCTTTTTGTTTGATTCCTTTCGGATCTAAACTGGACTGAGAAGGTTGTGACTCCGAGGACGGGTTTGTGTTTGGAGCAGAAGTTTAACCTCCAGCTCCCAGAGGACAGGAGAAAGGACAGGACCAGGTCTGGTTCTGGATGTGAGGGCAGACAGCTGCTTAAAGGAACAGTACAGATGTTCAGAGGTGTGTGGGTTCTTCTACATAGTCAGCAGCAGATCAATGCTCTTCTGTGGACGTGTTCAGAACGTACATGCTAAATAGTGAGAAAGGTGCTGTTGGGTAACAAATCAAGTTGAAACTTTTAAAACCTACTTTCACTTTGAAAATATCCAAATTTGGACAATAAATTTGTGTAAGAAAGGCAGAGTCGACACTTTAAGCAGCTCGAGAAGAAGAGGGCTGATGGTGTTTTTACTTCTCCCATCCGTCTTCTTCCCTCCACCAGGAAAGCCGAGATGGAGCTGAAGAGGAAGCAGGAAGAGGAGGAGAGGAAGAGGAGGGAGGAGGAGGAGAGCAAGATGCAGGTGGGTGTTAGAACAGTTCCGTACGGGACCATATGTTGCTGACGGGGGGGGGGCGCTCCGGTTGGTGCGGCTCTTCTCAGGCTCTTTGGGTGTGCTCAGGTGGAGATGGAGCTGCAGCTGCAGGCGGAGCGGGAGGAGGACGCCTCCCGCCAGACCGTCCTGGAGCAGGAGAGGAGGGACCGCGAGCTGGCGTTGAGGATCGCTCAGAGCGAGTCGGAGCTCATCCCCGAGGAGGTGCAGACCGACGCCGGCCTGCGCAGGTAACACTCACTGGGGGGGGTCAGAGGTTCTCCCCTGGAGGTGTGGGTGCTGAACCTCTGACCTTTGACACGTTACAGGGTTCTAATCCTGCTTCCAATGAATCAGAATCACATTCATACTGTTTATTGCTCTGTTTAGAACAGAGAACTACACCGTTTCATCACAGCCAGAAACTGTAGGAACACTCTGTCGGCCTCCTTGAATGCCTCATGTTATATTTTATCAGAACAATTTGTCTACACGTCTCACTTAGAATCTGATCCGATAAACCGTTTACTTTGAAGCGGTTCTGTGAAGAACATGCTCAGCTCCTTGGTGGAATTGTGAAGTAATGGTTGATTCATCTGGAATGAAATCAAATGGCGTAATTATAATCACTCATGATTCACTCCTGAGGTCAAGTGTGCTGATGTCACAGTGTCCAGCTCTTCATTCAGGAGGAGCTGCTGAGATGTTGATGATGGAGGAACCATCTTATCTCCTGTGTTTAACCGGCTTCTTCTTCTTCTTCCTTTTGTTTTCTTCCTCCCAGTAACGGCTCCTCACTTCCATCGTCCCCAGAGAGAGCAGCGTAAGACCCGGCCATTTAACCCTTTCAATTAGATCCTCGACCCACCTGACCTTTGACCTTTCCACCCATAACTCCCTCCCTCTGCACGCTGTAACAACCCGCCAGCCGAGTACAACCTGCCGGCTTCAGAGAGGCTCTGCTTACTTTCATCTGGAGAGCGAAACCTTAACTGTTTAACGCTGATTGAGATGCGTTGTTTCTGTGGCACGGACCTCATTTCTATATTTAAATGTATATTTACATATATATAGTATAGTATTTATCCTACATACTTGTGCTAGAAATAGCTGTTCATCTGTTACAATAAGCAACACTGCCTTAGAAGTTTAATTCATCAGACCTAAAACGCTTCAATTCACTAGTTTTTAAGGCAATATATTTAAGAAAACTGAAATACCCAAAGAAATCAAAATAAATATTCATACATTTATCTAAAAAGAAACTAAAACTTCAAATGCATAAAATATATATATTTAATAATAATAATCTTCTCTACTTGTGCTTAATTTACAGCCTCATGAAGTGATTTTAAAAGTGAACTCTGGTCACTTTTTACTAAACGTGGTTTGTTTCTCTGTAAAATATTTTATTATTTTACAGATTAAACACATTAAAAGCAGTCTTTTACCATATGCATAATATAATGAAATGATTGATAAATGTCCAGAATTAGATAATTAAATAGACAGGATTTCAAACTAAATAATCAAAGCTTCCTTCCCGTTGAAAGAAATGAGTACCCACAACGTTATCGGATAACTATAATTAATAATAATAATTATACAGCTTATTGTTCATTTCCTGCTTGAATCTCTACAGATGATCGCGCTGATGAGTCTGATCAGAGATTCTTTTCATTATTCATTCTCTGATAACCCAAAACTCTTCTGTTTGCAGCTCCGCCGGAACCACAATGCTCAAGAGCCTCACCATGTAGGTTTTCCTCTCGGTACCTGAACGCACCCTGACACCTTCAGGGACCACACGTAGATCTCTGCTTTCAGCTTCTAGTCGAGGGCTTCTCGGTCCACTCGGACCGCCCCCTCGGACCGCCCCCTCGGACCGCCCCCTCGGACCGCCCCCTAGGACCGCCCCCTAGGACCGCCCCATCGGACCGCCCCCTCGGACCGCCCCCTCGCACCGCCCCCTAGGACCGCCCCATCGGACCGCCCCCTCGCACCGCCCCCTCGGCCTCCTCCGCATTGCCCCCCGCGCCGCCCACTCGGTCTCTCCCGCACCGCCCCGTCGGGCTCCCCTGCTCCGCCCCCTCGGCCTCCTCCGCACCGCCCCCTCAGTATTCTCTCGCACCGCCCCCTCAGTCTCTCCCGCACCGCCCCCTCGGCCTCCATCGCTCCGCCCCCTCGGCCTCCCTCGCACCGCCCCTCGCACCGCCCCCTCAGCCTCCCCCGCCCCACTGTTTCCAAAGAGTATTGAAACGTGGAGCATCCTGATTGGTCCTCAGTGTTCTTGTCTCCTCCGCCCTTCAGAACTTGCCAGTTGGTTTTGTAGTTTTTATCTTTGAAAGGGTAACTTAATCCAGAAAGTGCTACTAAGTATTTTAGTAAACTCAAGAAGGCCACTTTGGAAAAGTTCTATTTGATTTCTTACACATTTCCACAACTATTCCTTTATTTACCGGGCACCGTGCAGTTATCAACATTTTACTTCCTGAGCAGCCTCAAACATCCGCAGAAGAGATAAACCTTTATGTTTAACCCAAAGCCAATGAATCAGGTTTAACTTTCCCTCAAACAGATGTTAAAGGAGGTTTAAATGAACTATTTTAAAACATATTAGCAGATTTCTTCTTATCATCTTATTCGACACGCTCTCCTATTTAGTTTAGTCCTTCCTCTATGAGTCAGTACTTTGAATAACTGGATGTTAAACCACCGATATCTAACATTTAAAAACCGGGCTGGTCGTGCTTTCTAGGGAAGAAATGGCGAAGGAGATGACGGAGCTCCTGTCGAGGTGGGTACCAACCGACCGGTCGCCTCCATCCACCCGATGCTTTGATCACTTGTTCAAATACTTCCAATCCTCAAAATCGATTCTGTTGATGCTCGTGATCTAAATGAACTGATGTTCGCGACTACTTCCTGTTTGTGTCACTGCGTCACTTCCTCCCCGATCAGCGAGGAGAAACCCATCAATTCAATAATTGATCTCTGATGTCAGATCTCTGCCGACCGATAAAGTGACTTGAGCTCCCATGCGGAGGTTGAGCGAGCGGCTCGTTGGAGGTTTGGGTTCTTAGTGCCGTGGTGGATTAGAAGGAAGGTCTCCATGGTTACCCCGGGGTACTCTCCCGTTGTTCAAATAGGATTAGACAACCGGAAGGGTTCCACCTACCTTAATCCTCGCCGCGGACTAATCGGGCCTTCTGCTGGGAGCCGCACGCCACCAGCGGGGCCCTCAGCTGACCTAATAATGATCTCCACCCTCCATGGTTCCATCTCTCCTTTCTTCCTCCATGATGCTCACCTGAGTTCCTCTTCGGCTCCTCGCTTCCACCTTAACGTTACTTCTGTGCTGTCGGCTCCTTCCTGTTGCTCCCAGGTGGGCGGAGTTTACTTCAAAAGAAAGTACAGAAATACCACGTAGATGAAGCAGGTTTGCTGGTATTTGTTGATACATCTATAATATTAGGGATCCATTACATTGGGTATTAAATCAAATTACTCGATGAATATGTTGTACTTCTCTCTGTAAACTCCCCCCATCTACTTCCTCAGAAGACAAAAATCCTTTTTCGCCACAAGCTCGGATTGAAACCCCCTCAAACTGCTGTTTTTTTCCCACAATTCCATGCTGCTCTCTGTTCGCTGACTCCTCTGCGTGGTCCTTGTCTCGTCCTCCCGGCTCAGAGGTCCACAGGTCCAGGCCACCAAGGCAGCCGCCGAGGCCAAGAAGTACGAGCTGAGCAAGTGGAAGTACGCTGAGCTGCGAGACGCCATCAACACCTCCTGCGGTGAGTCATTGCTTTGGAATGTGCCCAAAATAAAGACAGGAAGTGTCTGATCCTCGAGGGACCCGCGTCGAGGTTCTTAAACATCGTCTGGTCATCATCGCGCTATAAACTGGACGGTTTTAGCGGTGATGTCCAGAGTGATACCGGTCAAAATGATGTGGAATACATCGCTTGTCCTGGTCCCCAGAGGACAATTCACAATAATTCTGCTGACGACGTAAGCGTCGCTCTGACAGGAAGAAATGCACTCGGGACAAATACTTGTCGGTTTTTGACCTTTCAACAAAGGTTGAACGTATATATCGAGATGTCAGACCGACATGACACCTGTTGATTCCATCTCCTCAGAAGTTGAACTGGTTAGATTTTATTTGTCGACCATGCGTGTTTTTATATTTCCATCCTCTCACCGTGAGGCCTTTTTAGTTCAACCTCTTTGCCACCAAAGTGTCCCTCACTGGACGACAGCTCACCGCCATGATACCGCACTTGTCTGTCAGACTGAATGTGAGGCGGATGGTGTCATCATGACATGCCGATGAGAGCTACTTCACCTTCGCACTGACATTTGGAGAGTAGACTAGCGGCTAAATGTGGCTCGACAACTACGGGATGGATCGTCGTTAAATGTGATCCAGACGTCCATGTTTCCCTTCGGGATGAATTCAGGTCTCTGATATTCCCGCCTTCTTGGGCAGGTGATGATTTAATAATGAAGGTGAAGCAGAAGAGCGTTTGACCCTCACCACGAGGGCTTTGACCCGCTGGAAGCGTGACGGTGGACGAGCTAAAGGCTGTTAGCCGTTAACGGCCCGACAGACGGGCGGTGGGCTGAATACTGATGCCATGGTGGCTGATGATCTGCAGAATAAAACCTAGCAGAGCGCCGGGGGGGGGGGGGGCTGTGGCCATGTGCCTCGCTGAGGGTTTATGCTGCAACGAGTTTTTATTTCTTCATATATTCAGTCTGCCTCCAGAAGCGTTCAGCACTTGGCGTACTTGAGCAGCTCCGCTTTGTTTTAAATGAGCTGAATCATCCTGATGAAATGTGTCAACGCTCTCACTGTAAAGTCAGTTTCAGCCTGTGACCGTTTACAGTGAGTGAGACGTCACCTCGTTGGTTTGTGGACCTGTCAAAAAACTCGTAGCATTGTGGTTTTCTTTGCGACCAGTGAACAGGAAGTGAATGTTTAAGGACTGAGGAGGACGTAGAGACGCCGTGTAGATCTCTGATTGAGAGACCTGTCAATCAGCGTGTAGCCCCGCCCTAAAGCATCCCCTGCCTTATGGTCTTACAATGTTTATTGAGGGATCAAGGAGTAATAATGTATTTTATTTATAAAATAATTAAATCGTTTTGTAGTTTTCTCATAGACTTCTATGGGACCAGAGGAGTCGCCCCCTGGTGGCCACTTGGCAGAATGCAGCTGTAAAACACTTGATATCTGAGATGAAGAACCAACCTGCTAGTAGAACTGTCTCAGGTCCTCACGCCGCGAAGATCACCTCCATCTTGTTTGTGTCCTTCAGACATCGAGCTGCTGGCCGCCTGCAGAGAGGAGTTCCACCGCCGGCTGAAGGTGTACCACGCCTGGAAGTCAAAGAACAAGAAGAGGAACACGGAGACGGAGCAGCGAGCGCCCAAATCCATCACAGACTACGGTACCTTTGAATGAGACGTTACTGTGCTTCATGCGTTCAGGGTGTGGACACAAACGGTCTTTCATTCAGGACAGTGTCCAGCTGTTTGATCTTCTTTTATAAAAGCCCCTTTACCTTCTTTATGTGTCCTGTCTTTCTCTTTCTCTTCGTTTTGTCTTTCTCATCTTTTCTTATATTGTCCCTTCTTTTTGTACCTTTAATTCTCTTTGTGTCCTTTTCCTTATCTAACCATTCTTCATAAACTCCAGTGTGGACATTCAGAGACTCTTTGTGCTGCACGTTGCCGCGTTGTCATGACGACAGACAGCCCTTGTTCGGGAGCCGTCTATTGTGTGACTGCACACACACACACACACACACCTCCACCTGACGGGTACTTGTGTTCACGGGCAGTCAGAGGTCAGACATGTTCTCGATGGTTTGATAATTAAACTGTAGAGACATGAGGACTTAATAGTGGACATCATGCGACAATGAAGCGTGATCAATAAGTAGAGACCATGAGGACAGAATAGTGAACATCACAGGACAATGAAGCGTGATCAATAAGTAGAGACAGTGAGGACAAAATAGTGGACATCACAGGACAATGAAGCGTGATCAATAAGTAGAGACCGTGAGGACAAAATAGTGGACATCAGGGGACAATGAAGCGTGGTCACTAAGTAGCTGCGATGTTTGGAGTTGTATGAGTCACTGGTTGAAGCTGGACGTTCAGAAGTGTAGATATTCAACACCTCCCGATGAATAACCCGACTATGACGTTGTGTCTCTGCCCCCCCCCCCCGTCTGTGCTCACTTCCTGTCCGTCTGTGTAACCCGTCATGTTTACTTTCAGGTCATGCTCCTCCTGTGAACAAAGCATGTAAGTGGTCCTCCAGTGTGTGACGCCACTAACAGCAGCTGAGCTTACCCCCCTGCCCCCCCTCCCTCCCCCACTGGTGGAATCACTCTCTGCTTCTGGTTTCTGCCACTCACAAGTTCCCTTTTGCTGGTGGTGAAGTGGGTGGAGGATGGTGGATGGAGTTTCCATGGCAACCGCTGCTCTCGATTGAGACGTTTGCTTGTTCTGGAGAGGCCATTTGGGCGATATGTGCCAGGGGGTCTGCTGGCAGATCGACTGCTGATTTTTAGGTCTTACGCTTAGTCATGAAAAAGTTAATATTTCATGTTTCAGTTATTGAAGTATTAAAGGGTCAGTTCGTCCAACTCGCTGCCATCCAAGCATTCACAACCACAATTGGACCCCAAGGGTCCCTATGTCCTTCTAGGTATCCTCGTATCCTATATCCTTTATAGGTATCCTCGTATCCTATATCCTTCTAGGTATCCTCGTATCCTTTATAGGTATCCTAGTATCCGGTATCCTAGTATCCTATATCCTCCTATTTATCCAACTATCCTCCTCGCTCCGTTGGAATGGCGATGTGAGGGCGTCATGATGTCATGGTCAAGTGAAGCGGCCTCATTGGCTCTCGAGGAAGTCGTGCCGTAGACGATTAGGACAAATTTATTTTCAAACTACGACTCGTCTCCACTTTGTAGAAAGATGCCGATCATGTGTTAAATGTTTCGCACGAGTATGCAAACTCCTCCATGAACATCTGTGATGCTTCAATCCCCCCTCATCCCCCCTCCCAATAACCCGCGTGCCGTTTCCTGTGAGGGAGATTATTGTTTGTACTTTTCATTGCTAAGCTAACTGCTTATTGGCTCTGGACTTGGGTTTTTGGGGATAAAAAATATAAAACTTTATTAAACGTGTACAAATATTGAGACCCCTCTGCATGTAAACATGCCCACTCCCGCTCTATAACGCTTTTTCCTTTTCTTATCCCGTCCAATCAACAGCCCAGCAGAACTCTGCTCCGCCCATCCCGGCGCGGCAGCACGAGGTGGCGATGAACCGGCAGCAGCGATACTTCCGCATCCCCTTCATCCGCCCGGGGGACCAGTACAAAGACCCCCAGGGCAAGAAGAAGGGCTGGTGGTACGCCCACTTCGACGGGCCCTGGATCGCCCGGCAGATGGAGCTGCACCCTGATAAGCACCCCATCGTGCTGGTGGCAGGTCGGTAGCCGCCGCCGCCGCCGCCGCCGCCATCAGAAACGTTTTCATAATATCATCCATATAAAGTATTTCCGTTAAAGCTTTTAATAGAAAGTTGTCACATACATGCATTACGTATTGATACACATATAAATGTCCCCCCAGGGAAGGACGACATGGAGATGTGCGAGCTGAGTCTGGAGGAGACCGGGCTCTCCAGGAAGAGAGGAGCCGAGATCCTCCCCCGCCAGTTTGAGGAGATCTGGGATCGCTGCGGCGGCACTCAGTACCTCCGCGGCGCCATCGAGAGCCGGCAGGCGCGCCCCACCTACGCCACCGCCATGCTGCAGAGCGCCTTCAAGTAGGGGGGGGGGGTTCTCACTGCAAACAAAGGGACAAATGCACCTGCTACCAGACACACGGGTCCTTTAGCTTCTCCTCTGGTGGGGGGGTCTCTTTCCGTGTGGGCACTTGGTTCCCGGGGGGGGGGCAGGTCGGGGGGTTTAAGCCTGATGCAGAAAGATCAGACTAAATTATTCCATCTGGTTTGTTTCCCCACATTTCTTTGAGTCTTTACTTTGAGTCTTTACTTTGAGGCCTTAATGCTACTTTAACCGCCACATTAGGACCCCCCCCGAACGAGAAGACCTAATCTCTAATTATGCATTCCTGATTGTGACACTGGTCTCACCGGCGCGTGGCTAACAGCTAGCCGGGGATCCGTCGCCGTGACGACTACACTGACCTGTTCTTTTAACCTTTTGTAACTGATTGATTCATTGATTCTTCTTCTTGTGTGATTTAACGTTTGACGCTAATGAGAGAAAAACAACTTTGAGCCCTTGTGTTCCTCTGTGATCACTTCCTTTGGCTTGTTAATATAAAAGCAGAAAAAGATGTGAAATAAATATGCAAAACGCTCGCAGGCTGTGAGACGGGATCAGAAATAAATATCTTTACAAATTTAATCTTTTGATCAGTTGAATCAAGGAATCTTTGTTTAAATGTCATGAACTGGAAGCTGAATATTTTGTGTCAACTGGAACGTGAGGGTTTAATTTCTGGAATAAAAGTGTTTCTACGCTCATCCGCTGTGATGTCACACCTCCTGATGGCGGCCATGTTTGTCCTCCTCTGGCTTCACCTCCAGGGGGTGAAAGGTCGAATCTGATCAGAGGACTTCCTGTCTGAGTCGTGAAGGGCCACCTTCTCGCCCCCCCCCCCCCCATTCAGCCCCCTGTGCTGCTCACATTACAATCGTCCCTCCTGGGGGAGCGCTGCCTTTGTCACTTTTCTAACTGATAAATAAAAGCATTCCACTCTCCTCCCGACTCGTCTTCCTCTTCACTACAAGACGAAGGTTCAACACGGTAACTACTATCGTAAGACTGAAGGTAAAACAAAAAGGATACTTAAACACTTTAAATAGTAACCCCCCCCCCCCCACACACACACACACCAAAAGATGCAATAAACATTTGTAAGTCTGCTTAGTCTATTTACATGAAGAATACAAGAGGATAAGTTCCTCCTTCCATGATGTCATCATGTCATCTGTCACTACACAACCGCTGAGGCTCCTCCCCGTCGCCATGACAATGACTGACAGAGCGTCCTGAGGAGGAGGGAGGGGGCGTCTGAGGGATTAAAATGTCCCCAAAGCTCTTCAGCCGATTCTCACCGAGGAGACGAGTTTCATCGAGTCTGAAGAAGAAATATGAGATCACTGAAATAGTACATTAACAGATATTATCCAAAGAAATTTGTATATTATCATTAGAAGTAGTAGTACTATGTACCAGAGTATTGTAATAAAACAACCTATAGAAACCTTCTTAAATGTCCGAATGTGGTAAAGACCAAATTGTATAATATAATTATCCAAATGTTGTATGTTATGAATGAAAGTTTACAGTTATAAAAGTGCCAAAATGTCATAAAACTCCTAAATGAGCCTTGTAGTGACGAAAGTATGATGCTATGTTATTTTAACAGTATAAATCCTCACATGGTTCCAATCATTACATTCCAACCAGTCCTGAAGAAATGTAAGAAGAGATAGAAGTATAGAATAGTATAGAAGTATGGTATAGATCGTATAGAATAGTATTACTGAGGGTCCTCCACTCACCTTTTGGAGTATTCTCAGGTGAGGTGCAGTCCGATGTGTTTCCTGAGCTGGTGGGGCCCTCGGGGGGGCGGCGTGTTTGGATCTATAAGAAGAGAAGCTGGAGGTGTGAAGGAGGAAGTGCAGCTACAGCAACTCTGCACAAGAGGCTCCGCCCCTTTGTGCACAAGACGCCAGCGTAATTATTCATGAGATGACATGTTCCTGGCCGTATTCCAAACCTAACACCTCCCAGCGGAGGGTGGCTGTAGGACTGAACAATCTGAGAAGAAGTAGAGATGTTTTAACGATCTGATAAGAAGTGGAGATGTTTTAACGATCCGGGAAGGTCTTTCACATCACAGGAGCATCATGAGAAAAGCCCTGAGCGACCGATCATGGTCCCCAGAGGAACAACTGGTGACCTTCTAACCTTTCCTCTTCCAAAGCTTCACTAAATCTTTCCAAGTGGGAAGTCCTTACCTGCACACCGCCCCGCGGCCTGGGATCACCTGGCATCGCCCCCCCCGGCAGTGGTTGGGCCTCAGGAGGCAGAGGCTGCGGCAGGGCAGGCCGTCCACCGACAGGAAGCCCGGCTGGCACACGCAGCGCGCCTCCCCCGTGAGCCCGCTCACCACGCAGCGCGAGGAGGCGCCGCACGCCAGGAACCGGCAGGCCCCCGCCTGGTCAGCTGGTGGGGGGGGGGACAACATGTTAGTCTTCATCGGGATCATGATGTCTTCCAATGAGGCGTTTCCTGCCGCGTACCTGGCTCCACGTCCAGGGAGCGGGTGTCGATCTGGATGTGGCGTTCCCTGGCGGCGGCGGAGCAGAACTCCTCCAGCACCGCCTGGACGGCCTCGGTGAGGTTGTACGGCACCGACTTGTTGAACTTCACTTTGCTGTTGACCACCACGCTGCCTTTCCTGAAGTTCAGGATCTCCAGGTCCCTGAAGCCTGTCAGGTTGGCCTGCAGGTACGGCAGCAGCTGGGGGGGGGGGGCACAGGTTTAATGATTATAATCTGTGTTCATTCTAATATCTTAGAGGTGAAGTGAAGGTGAGATCTCTCAAACCCGTTATCTTACATCGCGACAGAATCCAAATGTCCTAAAAAACGAGCCACTATCCTGCAGAACGATTCCTCTTGGGGGGATTTTAGTTTCCCCATAAACAGTCGGCTGTCGGCTCGTTGCTGGTCGCAGTGATTGGTGGGTGATAACGGTTTTATTCCGTAATGAGTTTCAGGATTCATAATGAAGGGGAGTCAACAGAGGAACATATAAATCCAACACACGGCCTTCCTTTTTCGCTACATATAGATTATAGATTGGATATTTTTTATTCAGCATCAAGCATTATTCCACAAATAAGTATTAAATACTGCACGTTATAAAATTCTAGACTTTTTCAAACAAATGAAGAAAAAGATCAACTGCAATGCAAATGGATGCGTATCAATAAGAGAAAGAGTTCTTTCCCCTATTGATTTACATCACGTTACAATCATTAAAAAGACAAAGTCCCTTCTTGGCTTTTTCACTTCAGTGAATTAAGTCTTGAGCCTGTAAATCGTACAAACAGAACACACATTTCCCCTTTAAATGGAAGTCAATGGGACAAACTGCTTTAGGCTCTGCAGAGCTTCGTCTTAATTTGTGTGTTTTGTGTGTTTTTGTGACGGACTGCAGGTCGACTGAGTGGATTCATCAGTGTTACTTAGCCATTGACTTGTTTATGTTGGAAACGTGAACACAGAGCTCATCAATGTTACGTTTATTTATCCAAAGCTGACCATGTTAAATCTTTCTCTGCATGTTTCTCCAGCTGGGAGCTTACTGGTAGACCTTCAACTGGGAACGTCCCAATACCGATAGTTCACCGATGAGCTGCAGCTTTTAGAGGAGTGCAGAGTCAAGGGGAGGACCTGTACTATTTATGCAGAGAGACAACGGTTTTGTTTTGCAGATATTGGTCGATGATGACGGTGAAGAGTTAAGTGGTGAGAAAAGTGGATTTAATGAATCACGCGGGGACTGTAAATAAAATGAATTATAGATGTTTGCCTGCTAGATGTTTTTAATTGTCTAATTAAAATTCTTCTAATGTGTTTTTGTTTCCAGAGAAGAGCTTCTCGCGCTGTCACTCTGATCCAAAAGTCCTCGTGCTCAGCGAGGAGCCATCGCCGCTCTGCACAAGGTTTATTTCAGGTAGAGTTTGGATAGCAGCTGAAAATGAGGCTTCTGACATTGAGTCCTTCTGTTTACATGTTTGTGTGAAATAGATTCTCTGCTGCCTGTTGAACCCGTTCACTTATGAGCTCCCTCCTCGTAGCGTATTGCTGGATTACTGTGGAGCCTGAAAGGACTCGACTCCCTCACTCCGGTATGAAAGCCACTAATCTGTAATGTACTATCTACTATTATTAATACATTCATTATTGTGACGGAACAGTTACTTGGCCCAGAAAAAAAGAAATGACTGAAATCTTAACAACATCCAAACACATTTAGTAGACTTCATTTTTCCAAAGTTTTTTCTGCAGTACTTTGAATACTTATTTTATATTTTTTTATCTTCATGTTTTAGAATAATGATGTGACAGAAACCACAATCCTTTAATGTTTTAACAATTTCAAAATACATTTTAGAAGTGAAATGTGCTCTGTGTCTAGTGTGGATATAACATCACGTCCATATGTAGCTGTATATCTACAGACACACACACACACACACACACACACACACACACACACACATATACAGATTTATATAAACATGGGTTTCCCTACTCACCACATCTAAGAAGGTGCCCTCCAGTGATCGGTACTCCAAAGACGTCTTGTTAAAGAGGTCCTCGGAGAAGTCCATGTTGGTGACCCTCAGGCTGAAGAACACCACCAGCTCGCGGCCGTGGCTGGCCGTGGTCATGGACGGCGTGGTCAGGTACCTCAGCGGAGGCGGGGCCGTGACGCCGCGCTCCTCTGCAGCGGTAGGGAAGCCGCTCCCCTCGTCCGGCGTCGCCGGGTTGGTTTGATCCAACTCCACCGTCAGGTCCAGCACCGCCTCGTCGACGGCGTCCTTGGCGGCTACCGGCGGGACGGTTTGGCCACCGCCCGCCTTTGGCCCCGCCTCTCCCAAGTCTTCGTCGATGACGACCACCGCCGCAGCACCGTCGTCCTCTGGAGACCCAGGAGCCAAGGGGACGACCGGCTGCTCCTCTACCTCAAAGAGTCCAGAGTCTATCGTTGGGTCGGGGGGCACCTCGGCTGCCGGGGGGGTGGGGAAGGAGTCCGGAGCCGCGGCGTCTCTTTCTGGGGACGATTTTGATGAGTTGAGGTCGTCTGGAAAGGATCGATAGAGTCATGAGCGTGCAGCGAATGTTACAGAATCCACTGAACTGGTATTTTAAATGTAAGTCCTGTGTGATGTTATGTAGAACATCTCGTCTGTAAAGCAAAGCTAAGAACAGAACATTGATTTGTTTATTTATGTATCTCCACGCCGCTCACTCCTCACCTGCTACAACATCGAACTGTGGATCGGTCTCTGCTGCCTCCGTCGGTGGGACGGCTACCTCCTCCTCCTCCATAGAGGAGTCTTCTACGACAGGATGCTCAGGTTCACCGTCTTCAGAGGGCTGGAGGTCTATGGGTACGAGGTTATCCTCCTGGTCCAATGGGTCGAGGGTTTTAATGGATCCGCCTGGTGGCTCCGACACATCTTCATCTGCTGGTTCCAAAAGCTTGTCTACCTCCTCTGGATTCTGTTCTGGGAAATCAACTCCTGCTTCCTCTTCGGGCTCTGAAGGTTCGGGTAACTCTTCTGCAGGGGGTGCTACATGACCCTCTCCTAGTTCTGTGGCTTCCTTTGGACTCTCAACCATCTCCTCTTGTTCATTCTCAGAGACATCTGACGCCTCCTTCTCTGTCACTGGGACGACTTCTTTTTCTTTTACAGATGAAATGACATCCTTTTCTGGTTGAGGTACATCCGCTTCTTCTTCTGAAAGTATCTCTACGTCCTCTAAGACTTCTTCACTTGGTTCTGAAACATCTTCTGGCTCCTTTGATTCTGCAGTCTGGACCACCTCATCTCCGGCTTTTGTGACTTCATTTAAATCTTCTTCCTCTTCTGGTGGTGATTTCGGTCCCAATTTGCCAACTGGACTTTTGATAACTTCCTCATCTACTTCTGGAAACTCCAAAACTTCCTCATCTGATTTTAAAATCTCCTCCACCTCTTCTTCTTTTACCGGTTTCACAACATTAACTACCACATTTTCCAATTCGGAAACTTCAGGTACTAGTTCTTCAGGAACTCCAGGTACTAGTTCCTCAGGAACATCAGGTACTGTTTCTTCAGGATCTTTAGGTACCAGTTCCTCAGGAACTTCAGGTACTTGTTCCTCAGGAACATCAGGTACTATTTCTTCAGGAACTTTAGGTACTAGTTCCTCAGGAGCTTCAGGTACTACTTCCTCAGGAACTTCAGGTACTAGTTCCGCAGGAACTTTAGGTACTGGTTCCTCAGGTGCTTCAGGTACCAGTTCCTCAGGAACTTCAGGTACTACCTCCTCAGGAACTTCAGAGGTTGCTTCCTCAGGGACTTTAGGTACTAGTTTCTCAGGAGCTTCAGGTACTACTTCCTCACGAACTTCCGGTACTAGTTCCTCTCGCGCTTCAGGTACTACTTCCTCAAGAACTTCAGGTCCTACTTCCTCAGGAACGTCAGGTGCTGCTTCCTCAGGAACTTTAGGTACTACTTCCTCAGGAACTTCAAGTACTAGTTCCTCAGGAACTTCAGGTACTACTTCCTCAGGAACTTTAGGTACTAGTTCCTCAGGCGCTTCAGGTACTACTTCCTCAGGAACTTCAGGTCCTACTTCCTCAGGAACTTCAGATGCTGCTTCCTCAGGAACTTTGGGTACTACTTCCTCAGGAACGTCAGGTGCTGCTTCCTCGGGAACTTCAGGTACTACTTCCTCAGGAACTTCAGGTACTACTTCCTCAGGGACTTTAGGTACTAGTTCCTCAGGAACTTCAGGTCCTACTTCCTCAGGAACTTCAGATGCTGCTTCCTCAGGAACTTCAGGTACTAGTTCCTCAGGAACTTCGGGTACTACTTCCTCAGGAACGTCAGGTGCTGCTTCCTCAGGTACTTCAGGTACTACTTCCTCAGGAACTTCAGATGCTGCTTCCTCAGGAACTTCAGGTACTACTTCCTCAAGAACTTCAGATGCTGCTTCCTCAGGAACTTCAGGTACTACTTCATCAGGAATGTCAGGTGCTGCTTCCTCAGGAACGTCAGGTGCTGCTTCCGCAGGAACTTCAGGTACTACTTCCTCAGGAACATCGGGTGCTGCTTCGTCAGGAACTTTAGGTACTAGTTCCTCAGGAGCTTCAGGTACTACTTCCTCAGGAACCTCAGGTACTTGTTCCTCAGGAACTTCAGGTACTACTTCATCAGTAACGTCAGGTGCTGCTTCCTCAGGAACTTTAGGTACCAGTTCCTCAGGAACTTCAGGTACTACTTCATCAGGAACGTCAGGTGCTGCTTCCTCAGGAACTTTAGGTACTAGTTCCTCAGGAACTTCAGGTACTACTTCATCAGTAACGTCAGGTGCTGCTTCCTCAGGAACTTTAGGTACTAGTTCCTCAGGAACTTCAGGTACTACTTCATCAGGAACGTCAGGTGCTGCTTCCTCAGGAACTTTAGGTACTGGTTCCTCAGGAGCTTTAGGTACTACTTCCTCAGAAATTTTAGGTACTAGTACCTCAGGAACTTCAGGTTCATTTTCCCATGATGCTTCAGATTCAACCGCCTCTGTGACCTCATCTACGTGCCCACCGACCCCTGACTCTTTTTCAATAGCTTTTTCTGAAACCTCATCTCTCTTGGGTTCTGGACCTGGATGCATAACATCAAATATATTCTCCTCTGATTCCTTGTGGACCTCACCTCCAACACTTTCCTTTTCTTTTTGCAGAATGTCCACTCCGTCATTATGCAGAATCTCAACTGAGCTATCGTGTGTTTCTGCCTCTTGTTCAGAATGCTCATTGAGCTTCTTCTCCTCCAGATCTTCAGCTACTTCTTCCTCTGTCTCTGAAACATTAATGGTGTCTTCCTCCTCAGCTATGTCCTCCTCCTCAGCTATGTCCTTCTCCTCCTCAGCTATGTCTTTATCCTCAGCTATGTCCTTCTCCTCCTCAGCTATGTCTTTCTCCTCAGCTATGTCCTCCTCTGGCTCTGAAGCATCAGGTGCTTCTTGTTCTGGCTCTGAGACTATTTCCAGCTCAGGTTCCGTCCCCTCTGACTTCCCATCCTCCGTTTCATAAACTGTAATGTCTTCAGATGTTGGCTGCAGCACCTCGAGCACTTCTTCAACGGGTTCCAACTCTCCCTCCGGTTCAAGCAATTCAATTTCACTGTCCAACTCCTCCTCGTCCTCTGCACCCGCGTCCTCCTCCTCGTCCGGGAGAACGTTCACATCTTTGTCTTCTTGAGGGGTCGCTATTGGCTGCGTGGCCGGCTGGCCTGTGGCACCTGGAGGGGTCGTGATTGATGCCACGTCGGACGGTTCCACTTCAGCGGGAGCTGTGGTCAGTAATATCTGTGGGGTCGGGGTCACGCCATCCAGACCGGGGTCTGTCCGGGGTCTGTCCTGGTCCTCGTCGGCGGGAGTCAGGTCCTCCTCCGATATCACGTTGGGGGACAGACTCCGGTGCGTAGCGTCCGTCTCTAGGACCACGGGGGGGGTCGGGATGTAGTCCCTCACGAGCTCGCCCGTTTCCTCGTGATGAATGGTTTCGACCTTGTGCGTAATGATGGGCAGTTCTTCCTCCTCGACCTCCTTGTCTTCCTCCGAGGCCGTCACACCGGTCACGGGATCGAGCAGCGTCACGAGGGCGTTTTCCTTCTCCTGTGGGGGGAGGGGAAGCGAGGGCCGACTTTTATCCTCCTCCGGCTCGTCGGGGGAGACTTCGAACTCGTTGTGTGAGTCGGGTTCGCTGGACTGAGGGGAGAGGAGTCGGTGATTAATGCCCGAGCACAGCGCCGTGTCAGCAGAATCCCCAAAACGTCTCTCTTGAATTCCAAAAGCTTCAGTTATTCTGGGCTGAGATCAGTAAGCCTTTTTCTTAAAACAGCATGCGGGGACGTTTTGATTCAATTAGGTCAAATATAAAATATAAATCATGTAAATGAACGTTTAGATCACACATTGTAAACACACAGTGAAATTTGACCTCTGTGATGTTTTTTTTAATTAATCCATCTGATGAACAAACAGCAGCTTACCTTCTTTTTCATGTTATTTTAATAAATGATCATACACAAGATATTGCAGGCTGTCTACACGTACTTTATACATAATTCTATATATGTATAATTCATTCTATTTCCAACCACATTAAAGTCTTCTTACTCTCACTGAGTCTAGTAGCATCGATGGAACCTCTCACCTCGTTCTCCACTTCAAGCGTCAAGGTCGCCGTCAGCGCCGGCAGGAGGACCGCTTCTGTCAAGAACAAAGTGGGACAAAGCCCCTTCAATCTTTAGATGTTATTCATTATTCCCTTCTGCTCGACAGCTTGGACAGTCGAGGTTCAGGACATCAACGCAGTATCATTCGGGTAAAGGCACTAAACACAGCACAGGAAGTGACGACGACCCACCTGGCTGGAAGTTGAGCGAGTCCAGATCGATGGGCAGCGACGCCTCCTCCCGCAGGGCCTTGGCCACCATCTCCCTGAGGCCAGAGAAGACCGGAGACTCTGGGGCGCCGGTCGCCTCCGAACCCGTCGAGACGATTTTAGGAGAGTTCACCTCGAACACCAGAGAGTAATGCACGGAGATTCCCCCGGGCCTGAGGTCACAGAGAAAGAATCGCATCCTCTCAGTCGTTGGTGAGAGCTGAAGAACCCGAGGTGTGTGTCCACACTCTCTCTGACGGAGTGTGTGGACACACACCTCGGGTCGCTCTACACAGAGGACTCCCTGATGTTTTTAGATGTTTGCTGCTGTACGAGCCCCTGCTGTACGAGAGGATCAGGTAGAACCCTTTGCTGCAGCATCGAGTCGTCACTTCTGTCCCCAGCTGCTGCGCAAACTTCTTATTCCGCGCCGATGAAGGCGGGCGGGTAGAGGCGGGTGGAGGCGTGTGGGTGCAGCTAACACATTAAAAGGCTTTTAAACTAATTTTCTCAAAGCAGAGAAATTTGCCTTGAACTTTTCCTCTTGGGAAATTAACCTTCCCCCAAATACAAGAAAAACTCCTTTGCTCTCTTCCCTTTTGTCTCGGTTTGCACACACCTTCAATTCAGACATCTTTGACTATCTGATGCACAGAATAGTTTCTTTATGCCTCCTGTGTGTCTTTCCCCAGCGGACGTCAATCACTCGACAGCTCCACTGATCAGGGCCTTTTATACGAGAGAGAACTACTTGTAGTGTGGACAAACTGTGAAGTTCTAAGGAGCTTTGTTGCCATTTTTCATCTCTTGGTTTTCATTCTGTTCTGTCATGTTTTTATCCAACAAGCTCTGATAAACAGTTCCTGCTCTGCAGTCAGACGCAGGTAGAGACTATCCGCTGATCGTAGTGGAGCTTTTTGCAGGTGAAGGGTCTGATATTTCCCTCCGGAGGTGGTGGAGACCAAAAACAGAGCTAAAAGAAATTGGCCTAAACATTGGCCTTTAGGAAACTATATTTGTGCTCTTAAAACCAGATCAACCACCTAAAATAAAAAACATCTGTGTCATCGGCCGTGACAGCGCCCAAAGGGGAAGGCAAGTTAACTCTACTATCCATGCGCCTCCCCGTCTTGCCGCTACCACTGGAAATTTCAGCTGAATAATAAGTAATATAACTAATAATAATGTGTCCAATATTCATAAATACATCTGTTAGCACATTTCTATGACAACGGACGACCTACCCCTCGGTGTCCGGCGTCTCGCTTGCATCAGGGAGGAGAGAAGAAGAAATAAGTGTTACAGGAAGGAGACCACCATCATGAGAGTCTCTGTCATGTGGACAACAAGGGGCTCCGGGTCCTTCTCCATCCCAGAGCAGATCCACGTGGTCCTTCCTCACGAGTCTTTATGTCACCTAACTGTCCACTATTCTCTCTCTTCTAGCTCCGTGTTTGCTCTGCACCAGTCGCTGACAACAAGGAGCTGAAGCGTTTCAACGGTTGCTTTTTTTGTTCCAATATTTCTGTTCAGGATAGAAGACGATAAAAACACGAGCTACAACATCCTTAATTAAAATGTTTAACAACTGAGAGATGCCATCAGGACTCTGAGGATCTGATGTTTGAAGGAAAAGCCAAAATCAAATGAGGGATTAAGCAGAATGTTTCATCTTTAAAGCAAAGAAAACCAACTAAATAATAATACTCTCTACTACTCTCTACTTCAAGTTTTGTTTACCAACACAGGTTCCCTTTTTCAATGTTGTCGCCATTTTTAAGGTTCATTCAAACTTCATTTAAAATGTTGATTTGGTCAATAACGAGTGAAAATATTTTTTTTCAAAAAAACTTTTGAAATCTATGACGTTTGAGATTATTTGAGAACTAATTCTCATTTACAATGATGAGACATAGACAGCACAGACACAAAACAGTATGACAGACACATGTATGCATATGCATTATGTATTTAGTATACATATATGTAGACGGTTCACCCCATGCTCAGGCCTCACCTGATCCCCAGCACGTGGATGTCTTTGTACCCTGGAAGCTTGTCAAACGCATGCTGCATCTGTAGAGACAAAGTGCCCAGATGAAGCAGTTGAGGAGCACGTGAGAAGAGAAGCGTGACATGGAAAGCCTCTTTGGGAGTTGTGACATAAGCAGAACTAACTTCCCGCTGCGCATCGCGTGCGACTCCAAATTATCCCCACGCTTTTTCTAAAAGAGTCTTCTCCACGGGGGGCGGGGGGCACGGAGGAACTCCGCTCTTCTATTTGAGGGCCTCAATTAACGAGACAGTGGATTGTGGGTAATCTTCTCCCTTTCTCCGGCCATGAACTCCCGGCCCTCTGTCGTAAGCTACTTCAAGGTCAGGGACAAGGACGTGTGGACAGACTCATATGGAAAGGGACTCCCGTGGAAAGGGACTCATGGGGACAGGGGACATTTTGTATTGGAGAAAAGTCCCTACAAGTAGCAGAATTGTCTCTTTTGTCTGGAAAACCAATTAGAACGATCATAAAGATGAAACAATCGTCGAAGGGGCAAAGGCCTGCTGACAGTAGACTTACCTGGTCCTGCAGGTGGTGAGCCAGGTCCACGTACTGGGGGGAGTCCGGGTCGTCCAGCAGCTCTCTGTAACCCGGATCCACCAGGTCGATGCTGAACTCCACCAACTGCTCCACCGGAGCCTCTGGGACCACGTTGGGAAGCTCAGTGTCCTTCGGGAGGGCAAACAGCAGTCAGAGGGACAAGTTCTCCACCGAGGACAGATCTGTCCTGTTGGACTAAACAACGTCTCTACCAAGCCTCCATCTTCAGAGGATTCAGACGAACTCCTTCAGAGCGAAGCCAACTATTGACAGACAGGTGGAGGCAGTAATTGATCGATCGAGTGATTGACTGCGTGTGGCCGGTCACATGATCAATCTCCCAGGGTGCACTTGGTGCGAGGCATGAGCAATTATAGTTTATTAGAAAAGAACATCTGGCCATCGACCAGGAAACGATTGATTTATTATTAGTTTGAAATATGTATTTTCTCACAGTTCTTTAGTTGAAATGTGGTCGTTTGAGATCTTCACCCTCATTTCTGCTTCTCCTGAATCCGTACGGACTCGCTGACAAATGTTGCATCACAAATAGATAAAAAATGATCAGAGCGGAATGGGCCTGGAGATGTCTGAGGATGATTGGAATGATGGGGGGGGGCACCACCTCCATGTCACTTGCAGCTGCTCTCTAATCCAGTCAGGAGATTGCCTGAGAAATAAGGGAGGTTTTCTGGAGGAGGTGATTATTGAACCTCCCTAAAGTGCTTTGTGTCGAGAGCAGGAAGGCATCAAAGGAAATCTTCAGCGAGATGCATCGCAGGCCAGTTTCAATCAGCGGACCGAACAAAAAACGTGTCAGAGGAAGGAGAACCTGCTCTGAGCGACCAGCGGCTTGTACCAACCCCACCGCCACCCCTCACTTTCCTCTTCACGCCGACAACCTCAACGAGAAGAACCAGGAGCGAATGTTGGATTTTCCATTGAGTCTAAGTGACTGACGTGGACGTGCTGTTTTAAAGTGCTGCAGTGGTCACTCGCTAAACGTCATCAGAAGCGTCTCATGGCGACGGCCCAACGTTTGTTACGTGTCATGTGACTTGTTGCCAAGAGACGGACGGAGGAGATTTCTCCCCCTGTTGGCCTGCAGTGTACGTGGAGATGTAAGTGCATGCTGGTACCTCGTCCTCTTCCTCTTCCTCCTCATCCTCTTCCTCAACTTCGGCTGACCAGGTCGGCTGGGGCTCGGGGCTCGGAGCGACGCTCACAGGGCCGAGGAGGGTGGTGGTCGGGGTGATGCTGGGTGGGGGGGCCTCTGGGGGGGTCTTCGGCGGGGCGACGGTCTGAACCTCTGCCCCTAAAGTCAGGAATGAAGCGTGTGGAATATTCTCGAATCTCTACTTTACACTCAAAAGCTCAATATGTATCTCAGAGACCCATACATGACATCATCATGACCTAATAATCTGGTGATAGGCATAAATAAATCTATAGATAAGGAGCTCCTACCTCCTCCCTCAGGGATCAGTGGTGCTCGCGGCGCCTCTCTTCTGCAGAACAAAAGCCGTTATGAAAAACAAAAAATGACATGTGGGTCTCATGTACAAAACAGGATTTGATGAATATGTTTAAAAATATGGATAAAGCTCAATTGATTCTTTCTGCTTGATTGGTTGACCAATATCTCAAAGGGATCATAAATAACTCCAGTGACGTTACACACCTCCGTGTTCTGTTAAAACCAATCCTTTATTTCATGTAAACAAATCAACAAAAGTCTGTTTGTTTTGTCTTCAAGCACTCATCTGCCCCCTCTATCTCACATGCACGCCTCTATCTGCCCCCTCTATCTCACATGTACGCCTCTATCTGCCCCCTCTATCTCACATGTACCCCTCTATCTGCCCCCTCTATCTCACATGCACGCCTCTATCTGCCCCCTCTATCTCACATGCACCCCTCTATCTGCCCCCTCTATCTCACATGCACCCCTCTATCTGCCCCATCTATCTCACATGTACGCCTCTATCTGCCCCCTCTATCTCACAAGTACCCCTCTATCTACCCCTCTCTATCTCACATGTACCCCTCTATCTGCCCCCTCTATCTCACAAGTACCCCTCTATCTGCCCCTCTCTATCTCACATGTACCCATCTATCTGCCCTCTCTATCTCACATGTACCCCTCTATTTGTCCCCTCTATCTAACATGTACGCCTCTATTTGCCCCCTCTATCCCACATGTACCCCTCTATCTGCCCCCTCTATCTCACATGTAACACTCTATTTGTCCCCTCTATCTAACATGTACTCCTCTATCTGCCCCCTCTATCCCACATGTACCCCTCTATCTGCCCCCTCTATCTCACATGTACCCCTCTATTTGCCCCCTCTATCCCACATGTACCCCTCTATCTGCCCCCTCTATCCCACATGTACCCCTCTATCTGCCCCCTCTATCTCACTTGTACACGTCTATCTGCCCCTCTCTATCTCACATGTACCCCTCTATCATGGACCACGCTCCACACCCAGGTTGTCTTTATGGGGGGGGGAGTAGAGAATAGAGAGTGAGGTAGAGGGAGGGGCAGTGGGTGGGGCAGAGAGAGAGAGGTAGGGGGGTAGAGAGCTGATGACGCTGGTCTTTACCCTGATGGAGGCGTCCTGTCTCTCATCCGGTTCATCCTCTGTGAACAACGATCACACAAACACAGGTTTTAACTTTTTAATTGTTACAATGATTGTGTTGTTTTTGTTGCTTTTACATTGATGACGAATTGAACTGATTTGTTGTGTTGTGTTTGTTTTCTTTGTGGGTTTATTGTGATCTAACAGGAGTTTAAAACCATCAAACATCCACAGTGTACATTTAGAAATGTGTGTGAATGTTGAACCTTTGTCTTCTTTTAAAGGGTCACTTAAGCCACTCACTTTGTTTTTCAACTATTTTATTTTATGTTGTTTGACTCCTTCACGTTTAATATTAAAACTGCCATTTTATTTTAATCGTTTGCTTGTTTATTCATTTACTTGTTGATCTCATTTGTTTTTTGTATCTTTTACTAAAACAGACATTTTTTATTTTAATAAAACAAATCAAATACGATGAAGTACGGCTTAGTAACTTTAAGCCTGTTCTTTTTTTAATCATCAGAACCATTACTGTGTTATGATTCATAACATACCGCAATATGAAGGCAGCGAAACAACCAATGGGATCATTGTTCAATTAAAAATCAATAACATTGATTAAATGCTTATTTTCCCTGCCTGCGTCCTTTTGAGGTTTTGAAAGCACTACATTGTTTTCTTATGGACGACATTTGACTCAAACTAGATTCATTCAAAGATAATGTGTATATATATATATATATATATATATATATATATATATATATATATATATATCATTTCATTGTCTCCCTAACTTGAAGCGTTGTGGAAACAATAAAACAGGCGTGAGCAGATCCATCAGCACGAGCTCGTTGTTGATGTGTCTCACCCTGTGAATCATGATCATGTGCTCCTCCGAGCCGCTGAAGTTTCTGGCGAGGTCGGAGATGCAGAGCGACTCGTGCTGACACGCGTGGACCCACTTCTGGTACTCCGTGGTCCCCGGGATCCTGTCGAAGAAGATCCTGAAGGCCTCCCACACGGCTTCCTGGCAGACTAACAAACACACACACACACACACACACACTTAAACAAAGAAGGGAAAGTCTTCTATCCACTAGTATGGAAGGACTCTCGGTCTGGGAGGTCCGGATGTCCTTGAATGCACCACTAACAGTTACTTTAAGATGTCTTTGACCTGCTGTATTCAGAGCTGCAGAACAGAGATCTAGATGTGAAGCTCACGTCTGCGTTGGGGGGCCACATTGAGCATTACACAAACACAGCTGCATGGCGTGGGGTAGATAGAGTACCTCTGAGCTGGTAATACCCCTGGTGGCTGGCGAGCACCTCGTTGAGGGTCTCCTGGGGGCAGATCTTCACCCCGGCGTGAAGGAACACTGACCTCCTGGGTCGCCGTCGGGCCACTTGGAACCCTGAGCCTTCCGTCTGCGGGGACGCCCTCAGCAGCTCCGCCAGGCGGGCCCGCCCACCGGCCGCAGGCCTTAGCGCCGCGCCCGGCCCGACGCCGCCATCTGGACGCGGTTAAAAGATTGAAGGTCAGACTGGCTGCCAACGGCGGTAACAGTGCTAACAGTGTTAATGGTGGTAACAGTGCTAACAGTGTTAATGGCGGTAACAGTGCTAACAGTGTTAATGGCGGTAACAGTGCTAACAGTGTTAATGGCGGTAACAGTGCTAACAGTGTTAATGGTGGTTGCAGTGCTAACAGTGTTAATGGCGGTAACAGTGCTAACAGTGTTAATGGTGGTAACAGTGCAAACAACGGCAACAGCGCTGAACGGTCTGAGACGTTACACTTAAACGCAGTAATGTTGGTATCGTATTTTAAAAGGAAAACCAGCGCTGATGTCACTTGTTATTTGTGGTCGTTTTTAACCGACGCGTAGGGTTATGTTTAGGATGAGGACATTGTTGTTTTTTTTTTGTTAATACGGGTAGATTGGCCAAAGAAGAACCCTTGAGTTCTGGAGCCATGGAGGATCGTTGGTGGCTCCAGTTCACCTTCACCACTCCCTTCTTCTTTCTTGATAGAAACCTATTTTGAGTGTTTTTCAGACCTCTCTGCTAGAGGACCTCGTTCGCTGAAGAGTTCAGTCTCTGAACCTTTGATGCAACCTTTGCTGACAGGAAATGAGACTTTCCTCTTTCACAACACACACTCAGGCCATGGCCGATCAAACCCTTTTTTTCTATATAAACCTTTTAATATAGAGCGGAGGGTGCTCTTTTATATCCGCCTGCCGGGGTTCGGGGGCTGGCTCTCCCTCCTCGTGCCCACTCGTACTAAATATAAAAACACTTGTTGTACCTGAAGGGTCTTCAAAATAAAAGCATCCACCAAACAGCGGCGTGCTGCCACTAGAAATGCTTCTGATCGTCTAGCAGATACATTTGGGGTGCGGGTAAGTGGGTGATGTAATTCATATCAACACACTAACAAATGTTCTGACGCTGAGAGTTGCAGCAGGTTTGCTTTTATTTTTAATATTCAGCCAAACGGTCTGCGATGTCATGAGACAGGATCCTAATCAACACCCTGTCTCTTGGGCCCTCGCTGGGTCAAAGCTGTCACCAAGCCGAGCCGATGTCCACCGTCCTCCTGCACGCTCGACGTCTTCGGGCTGTGAATGAAGACGAGGACGAAGGGATTCAATCCACTCATTGCTGTTTGATCCAAACTGGAGGTCTCACAGCCAAGAACTTACGCAACCGTAATAGGCTTTGCTTTGCATTGTGAAGTGTACGGCCTTTAAATCGTGCTATCTGCCCGCGCCCGACTATTCAGAACGTTCTTCTCATTGCAAAGGGTGAAAGTGGGTAAGCATTGGGACGTCTTTTTCGAGACTTAAAGCGTCACGCCTCAAAAAAGGATTGTAGCTCTTTTGGAGAACAAAACGAGGCTTACCTTTAATTCCAGCGGCTTGAGCAACGAGGACGAACAGCAGCGCGAGTCCAAACTCCCACGGCATTGTGGGCCCAGAATTCCCAAAATTGTGAGCGTGGAACAGCTAAATCCAGCAGGGTGGGGGGGGAGGGGAGGCGAGGCAGCGTCCTCTAGCTCAGGTGGAGCCCATTGGGTGGAGTCCGGTTGCGGTGGGTTTTGTTTGCATCGGCGACGGATTCATCGAAGGCCTCCGAGCTCCGGCTGAAAGAACCGGCGATGAAGGCGGCGCCGCTCCTCTCCGGGCCGCGGGGAGCAACGGCGACGAGGTTAAAAGAGAATAATCTGTTTATCTAGCGCTCAGACATAATCCGTCTTTACCCCCCCGGCCCTCTCAGCGCTGGCGTCATCCTGTTAGTGGCTCCTTGCGGGCGTCGTGGGGGGGAGGGGGGGGTTATCTGTCAACAACGTCAACCAGTGTTTCTGCCGCCACCACCTCCAGGCCTTCCCTAACTCAGGTGTTCCCCTCTGCTTTATTTATCGATTCTGAGCAGGTGGAGGGATGTGACCCAGATCCCCATTCAAAGAACACATCCTCAACTCTGCTCCAGTGGGACTGGTCTATACTGGTCTACACTGGTCTATACTGGTCTATACTTGTCTATTCAGGTTTATACTGTCCTATTCTGGTCTACACTGGTCTATACTGGTTCATACTGGTCTACCCTGGTCTGTACTGGTCTACACTGGTCTATACTGGTCTATTCTTGTCTATTCAGGTTTATACTGTCCTATTGTGGTCTATACTGGTCTATACTGGTCAGAGTGCTTCTTATCAGCACTTCAATCGGTTCAGATAAAAAAGGTTTGAATCTTTAGTTTCACTTATTTTTGTCTCGTGAAATTTGTAATTTTTTCCTTTAATAAACGTTTAATAAATAGATTGCGATTGCCTTGTGTGCACTGACACTGACGTCTGGCTCTGAGGAATAAAGCAATACTTTGATTTAATGAGGAGCATGTTTGAGGAGCTGGAGGCAGGGCTCGTTTGAGGAGATAGAGACGGGGCTCGTTGAGGAGATGGAGGCGGGGCATGTTTGAGGAGCATGTTTGAGGAGCTGGAGGCGGGGCTCGTTTGAGGAGATGGAGGCGGGGCTCGTTTGAGAAGATGGAGGCGGGGCATGTTTGAGGAGCATGTTTGAGGCGCTGGAGGCGGGGCTCGTTTGAGGAGATTGAGGTGGGGCATGTTTGAGGAGCTGGAGGCGGGACTCGTTTGAGGAGTTGGAGGCGGGGCATGTTTGGCTTTCCAACAATCAGCTAATTGATATATTGTTCCTTGGTGATTGATCTAAAAAAAACCAGAAAGCTGTTAGCGTCCTCTAACCTTGTACTTCAGGAGGAGGACGTCTTAGTCTGGGAGGAGAAGTGATGTCTTGGTGAGAACAAGTGGGGGAAAGTTGAGGCATTAACTGGTTTTAGGTCAGCTGAAGCTCAGACATCAGCGAGTTCCACCAGAAACGCAAAAGCAGATTACAAATTTTAATCTGTAATCCTCCGTCAACCCACGTCCTGTTTATCTCACCGCTTCTGTGTCGGACAGCAGTTCTAGTAGTAGTAGTAGTAGTAGTTGTGGTAGTAGTAGTAGTAGTTACGGCAGCAGTAGAAGACGTATCAAAGTCAGAACTAGTATCAGGTGGTTGCCTAACTGCTGTTGGTAGTAGTAGTAGTAGTTGTGGTAGTAGTAGTAGTAGTAGTAGTAGTAGTAGAGGTGTACCTCAGTGTACCATAAACTAGTAGCAGTAGCAGTACTTGTAGTGATTGTAGTAGTACTAGAATTATTTGTATTAGTACTAAAGATATATTTGATATCTGTCGTCTTTGATGTTTTATGTATTTAGGGAAACACTGAAACCAGATTCACTTATTATTATTATTATTATTAATATAATAATAAAGTATTTACAATCCAGCTCAAACATTTGATTAAAAACTCAAAGCTGATATTGATAAAGCAATCAGACAAACCAGGGAATAAGGAAGTGAGACCCTGAAGTGGAACTGTGCGTGTTTATTAGACCTTTGTTTAGATGGGAAGCTCAAAGGCTTCTTCCGATAAGCCACGTTCTGCTGTTTATCCCACCGCGCCCAGACGGGAAACACGGATAATCCGTTTAATTTGGTCCGTTGAGACTCTTTGTTTCACCTTTCAATGCCAAACGCCCCCTCCCCCGCAACAACACGGGTGACACCTTCCTCCTATTAGTCCTCTAGGTTATTTGTTTATGGTATGTTTTGGTATGTAGATCAATATATATATATATATATATATGGCCTGTCAGTATGGCTCTTTCTCTGCGATGGGTCAGCACCTCATTGGACTCGTCACAGCCAATAGAATTGAGATATTTCCAGTTACAGTTTTGTTCTCAGTTGACGGCTAAAGAAGCGACATATCACACCTTTCCTTTGTTGAAAATGTTTTCTGCTGCTGGTGTTCTGTGCTCTGGTCGCTGCGTGTTTTACCGGAGGGGGGGCTGCATACCTGTTGAGTCTGTGGACAAACTTAATTAAAGGTCAATTGTGGAATATTCTTTAGATGGCGGGTAGTTTCTATTCTAAAGTGTCACCATGTGGCTGAACGGCGCCACTGATTATCTGCATTTACGTGATTATCTCCACCTCCGGAGAACCTCCAGCCAAAAATACATTTCAACGCTCTGATCACAAATATTAAATGTCATGCTTCTACTTTACTTTTTTTTTAATGAAAAAAATGGATTAAATGGACGGATTAATGGATTAAAAAAATCTCTTAATTATTATGTTTTAATGATGAATGTGTGTTTAAGAAGAACAAAATAACTAATGATTCATCTCTAACATCTATTCTACATTCACATTCATTACATTCATTTATTATTTATACTTCTAAACGTGTGCTTGTACTCACTATGAGTGCAGCTCTCGCTTTGGGATAATTTACCACATTGAGTCCTCCACCTAAACCTGCGTCTCAGCCACTTAATCAATGAGAGCCATTAGAGCCATTAGAGCGACCCGGTACACCTGCTAATGAGTCCGCTTTTCACCCGGACCACTTGGGAGCTGCTTCAGGTGAGCGTGATGAATGGACTCAGAGCTCATCGGTTACCGCGGTGATGAGACGACTTCCTGTGCAGGAAGGAGGAAAGGACCAGTGTGGAATGGAAACACATCTGGCTGTGAGTCTCTTCGCAGAAACACAATGTTTTGGCTCTTTTGTATCGTACCGACCCTCAAACGGAGGAACAATTAGTCGACTGACTGAGCATTCATTATTGCTGCAGTTCATTGTTTGAAAATGAAGAATTCAAGTGCCAACAGGTGGACAGAGTTTGCAGGACAAACTCTCCCAGCTGCACGTGCCCGACTCCACCTGCAAGTGGACCACAGACTTCCTGTCTGACAGGAAGCAGCAGGTGAAGCTGGGGAAACATGTCTCAGCCTCTCGGACCATCAGCACCGGTTCCCCCCCAAGGCTGCGTTCTTTCCCCTCTGCTCTTCTCCCTGTACACCAACAGCTGCACCTCCAGCCACCAGTCCGTCAAGCTCCTGAAGTTTGCGGATGACACCACCCTCATTGGTCTGATCTCTGGTGGGGATGAGTCCGCATACAGATGGGAGTCTGACCATCTGGTGCAGTCAGAACAACCTGGAGTTCAACGCTCTGAAGACAGTGGAGATGGTTGTGGATTTCAGGAGGAACAGAGCCCCACCCTCCCCCTTTACCCCGTGTGACTACCCCGTCACTATTGTGGATTCCTTCCGTTTCCTGGGCTCCATCATCACCCAGGACCTCAAGTGGGAGCTGAACATCAGGCAAGGGCAGGCTGCAGCGTGTCATCCGCTCTGCAGAGAGGGTGATCGGCTGCAATCTGCCGTCCCTGCAGGACTTGTTTGCTTCCATGACCCTGAAGCGAGCCAAAAAGATCGTAGCCGACCCCTCTCACCCCGGACAAAAACTGTTTGTGCCCCTTCCATCTGGCATTTCTTCCCGTCGGCAGTCGGGCTCATCAACAGAGCCCGGTTCCCCACTGACTGACTCTGACATTCCACCGGTCACTTTCTTTCATTCTGCACACGTCACTTTCATTTGTCACTTTTCACTTGTCACTTTTGTCACTTCCTGTGCTGATGCACAGGAATTTTTTAATTTTTAAATATTTTTTAACTTTAACTTTTATTCTTTTATTTTAAAATAAGCCATAGCTTTATACCACTAACCCATAGAATTGTATTTCATTTTATTCCTCGTGCACTGCTGTCTTGTTGTCGTATGCACCAACCGCCAAATCAAATTCCTTGTATGTCTGACATATTATAGCAATAAATGTTTCCCGATTCCTGATTCCTGATAAAAAGCACCTCGTGTTCTTTAAAAGGCTTTAATTCTTCACATCTACATCACAAAGAGACACGACCTCACAACGTCCCGTGTTGATGATTCATCATCAAACACAAATGTCCCGTCCTAACAGACAGATTATTGTCGTCTAGTCTTTGTGGAGAACACAGATAACATGTTTTTAAGAGCTGAGAACGCGAATAACTCGGGTAAGACCAAAAGGATTAACGGAAAGCTCATTTCCTCAGTGTGTAACGCCGCTAAGGCTCCGCAGCTTCCTCGTTATTATTCATCTAAAAGAAGGAAAAATAAAACAGCAGAATGCAAATGACGGAGATTTAATGAAGTCAGTGAGGGGAAGAACAATCCACAGGTGTGAAACTGCAAAACATTGAAGGCTACAAACACTTTGTGTTTGCAAATTAGTTAGCAAATAACTAACTAACTAACTAACCAGGACTTGGTCGTAGGACATCGTGTGAACTGTTTGAATAAACGCCGTTATGATGCGACCCAGAGGAGGAATTCCCTTTTTCCATCTAAAAGCTGAACTTTCCTCAGCTTCCTCATCAGCACCATATTTAGCTTCGAGCCTCGGATGCAGGGAATATGTCCCCTCAGAGGGACGATGCAGATAATCTGTCCACCGGGGAGCCACAAGGCCGAGGAATTACCCAGCAGAGGAAAGATCGATAACCATTTAGAGGCTCGGGGGGGGGGGGCAATGTGTGCCCACAGTAATTAAAGTCAAGGTGTGTGGGGGAAATGTAATAAGACGTTATAGGACAAGGGCACAAAGGACGCACTTGGAAATCATTCTTAAATTGGTCTTTGCTGATTAAAATGAAAAAGAGTGGAGAAGAGGATTTGCATTCGCTGCCAAACCCAAACACATATTCACTACGTTATGAGGGAAATGTACTTTCTTGGGGACAATAGTCGCTATTTTCCACAGTTT